AAGACGGTGGAAAATTACTTTTCTTTACACACTCTTCTGCAGGTTTAAACAGTTTGGAAAAAATCCCCCCTCTTCTCCTGCTTCCGAAGGGGGTTCAACAATTTTAAATGGTGAAAGTTAATTAATCCTTTACAAACAATTTTCTGAACTCTAGTTTGCCATGTCTTTGCTTTAATCTATCAACAAGAAACGGAAGGCTGACTTCCTGTTTAGACCTTCCCGTTTCGGTGCCAAATTAAGAAGAATTTCTTAATCCAATTTTCCATTCTACTCACAAGTCGTTGTTTAAAGTCCAATTGCCCAAATTTAACCTACTCACGGGTAGTTGTTTTTGTAGCCAAATTGTCCCAGGAAAAATGCAGCGCTCTCCGGCAACGGCTGTGCAGCTTCGCTCCACGGAAGAAGCAGTTGACTCTCAGCACCGCACCACTTGCCCCTCTTCGCTCCGGAGCCCGTAGCAGGGTTCCTTTACGAGTTGGGGGGCGCGCGAAAGGTGCCTGCCGAGTCCCATGGTCACAGGCTTCATCCGCCTGTGATTTTTTGAAGGGTCCCTGCTTCGCCGTAGCGGAACAGACCCGTTTTCCGTGGAGCCAGTCCCTCCGGATCAGAGGGAATCCGCCATTACCGATGGCGCCACTCATAGGTCACTGAATCTTGGTGTTTCATAGGGAGTTGCAGATAAATTGGGCTCCATGATCACTGCAGATGGTGACAGCAGTCACGAAATTAAAAGATGCCTGCTTCTTGGGAGAAAAGCGATGACAAACCTAGACAGCATCTTCAAAAGCAGAAACATCACCTTGCCAACAAAGGTCTGTATAGTTAAAGCTATGGTTTTCCCAGTAGTGATGTATGGAAGTGAGAGCTGGACCATAAAGAAGACAGATCGCCGAAGAATGGATGCTTTTGAATTCTGGTACTGGAGGAGACTCTTGAGAGTCCCGTGGACTGCAAGAAGATCAAACCTATCCATTCTGAAGGAAATCAGCCCCGAGGGCTCACTGGAAGGACAGATCCTGAAGCTGTGGCTCCAATACTTTGGCCACCTCATGAGAAGAGAAGACTCCCTGGAAAAGACCCTGATGTTGGGAAAGATGGAGGGCACAAGGAGAAGGGGACGACAGAGGACGAGATGGTTGGACAGTGTTCTCAAAGCTACCAACATGAGTCTGACAAAACTGTGGGAGGCAGTGGAAGACAGGAGTGCCTGGTGTGCTCTGGTCCATGGGGTCACGAAGAGTCAGACACGACTGAATGACTAAACAACAGGGAGCTGAGACCCAAGGTCTGCCACTGTGGACTCCCTCTGAAGGTGGTATAGTCTCCTACATTGGAGGTTTTCAAGCAGAGGTTTGGTGGCCACCTGCCGTGTCGGATTAAACCCTGCAGAGGCCCCTAGGCAGTCAACATCTTGGGCCCCACCCCTCATGCACGTGCTTTAGTGGGATAACATTGAACTAAGAAAGTTTGATTGTCATTTTCTTTCAAGATCAAATCAATATTACTTTGAGCTGTTTCCCGCGGGGTCCCTAAGCCAGTGCCAACTCTGCCTATTTGGTAATCCGGCACTGGCCATCTGTCATGGATGCTTTAGTTTAGATTCCTGCATTGCAGAGGATTGGATTAGATGACCCTCGGGGTCCCTTCCAACGCTACAGTTCTGTGATAGATTTAGCTGCAGTGGAGAATGCCAACTAAGGGGTTGTGCCAAGGGGTTCATTCAGAATATTAAGAAGAGCCATAGCTCAGAGATTGAGCAGCTGCTTTGCATGCAGAACTCTCAGGTCCAACATCTGGCTTCTGGGGAAGAGCTGGGATTGTCTCCTGCCTGAAACCCCGGAGAATCACTGCCAGTCAGTGCAGACAATACTGAACTTGATAGACCAACAGTTTGGCTCAGTATAGGGCAGAGCCCTGCATCCGAAAATATATTTTTTATTTTTCAGTCTTTTGTTCTTCAGTAATAAAGATATTGAATGCAATCAGACCCACATCTTCTGTGTAACATTAGCGGAGAGCTGTTTGCAATCTGCTTTTGAGACATTTAATTTCACAACCTGAGTGCTGCTATATATATGCCACCTTCATTTCCAATTTATGTTACTTCCAGTTCATGTTTCTCAAGTATTCTTAAGGGTTTTATGTAGCTGCAGAATCACGTTGAGGTCTATTGTCTAGAGAGAGAGAGATTCTTTCAGCATTCGTTCCAGATTATCCAAGGATGCAATTCTCATCCTGCAGCCTGTATTGATTATTCTGCTGTACAGTTAAGAGGCTGGCGTATCCCTGGGTGAATGGAAAAGAATCCAGCTGCCCCCGTGCATTCAGGCAAGTAATTACCAGACACACAAAATAAATGAGTCGAAGAGACCTTTGATCAGACCAGGATCATTCACGAGAGCAAATATAAACAGCTGACCCTCTCACGCCTTAGGTCTCTTCATATTCTTTCATGGGGAAAGGCGAGCATAGCAGAATGTGCAAAGTGAATTAGGCTGCAATCCTATACCAACTCACTTACCTGGGAGGAAGCCCCATTGAGTTCAAGGGAGTTTTACTTCTGAGTAAACACACCATTGAGCTGTGAATAGAGTAAGAGACAGGGTTCCTGCATGTTTAATAGCTTTGTAGAAGAGGGAATTTCAGCAAACATAATTTGTCATGCAAGATACACCTGCTTAGATTCTTTCTTCGCTGTTGAATGAAAGTGACCTATTCCTCGTTTATGTGTGGCCATCCGAGCTGCAAATTAGATGAACAATGGACTTACTCTAAATTAGGTCTGGCTCATAAAGAACATTGTATTTTATTTATTTCGCAAGATTATATACCACTTTATTGTAATAAAACCTCAAAGCAGTTTGCAGAAAGAATAAAATTACCAGTAAAAAGAAGATGAAAACAACTACCGTATTTTTCGCCCCATAGGGCGCACCGGCCCATAGGACGCACCTAGGTATTTTTTTAGGGGGGGGGGAATAAAGAAAAAAAATATATATTTCTCCCCCCAGAACAGGCAGCTCTCCGCAAGCCTTGGGAGACTGGCACGACTTCCCGCCAGGCTCCCACGCCTTGCAGATATCTGCCTGAAGCCCAAACCAGGTCGGGGAACAGCGGGGTGGCAGCGCTCCGACTCCCCGCTGTGCCCCGAGCTTGTGGGGCTGGCGGCGGGGAGAAGTGCGCTTCTCCCCGCCTCCAGCCTCCAAACCAGGTTGGGGGACAGCGGGATGGCGGCTTTCTGCCTCCCTGCTGTCCCCCGAGCTTGTGGGGCTGGCAGCAGGGAGAAGCGCGCTTCTCCCCACCGCCAGCCTCCAAACCAGGTTGGGGAACCGAAGCCCGGGGCGTGCTGTGCAGCACGCCCTAGGGTTCGAGATGCAGGCTGCTATCCGCAAGCCTAGGGAGCCCAACGGGAACTCCCGCGGGCTCCCAAGGCTTGCGGAGAGCTTCCTGAAGCCTGGAGAGCGAGAGGGGTCGGTGCGCACCGACCCCTCTCGCTCTCCAGGCTTCAGCGAAAGCCTGCATTCGCCCCATAGGATGCACACACATTTCCCCTTCATTTTTGGAGGGGAAATAGTGCTTCATATAGGGCGAAAAATACGGTATTTAAAACATACCAAAAAATAATTAAAATCAATGATAAGCTGAAAACCAGATTAAAATGCATGCCAACAACATTATATGTGGCTAAACAGGCTTGCGTGTTTTTAGCAGGCACCAAAGAAAGTACAGTGAAGGTGACCACCTGATGTCAATAGGCAAAGTGCAAATGCTGCCACACTAGAAGATCAATTAATTACAACCACAGAATAAACCATAAGCCACAAGGAACAACCTTATATATTGACATGTGAAATCCTCCCGCAGCCAAAAATTCATTCTGTAAGGCACTTTGAATTTATTTTATGAAGGAAGGTGGTACATATATGAAATCCAATAATAGTAATAGGTAAAGGTAAAGGACCCCTGGACGGTTAAGTCCACTCAAAGGCGACTATGGAGTTGTGGCATTCATTTCGCTTTCAGGCCAAGGGAGCCAGCATTCGTCCACAGACAGCTTTCTGGGTCATGTGGCCAACATGACTAATTCGCTTTTGGCGCAACGGGACACCGTGACGGAAACCAGAGCGCACGGAAACACCGTTTACCCTCCCGTCGCAGTGGTACCTATTTGTCTACTTGCACTGGCATGCTTTCAAACTGCTTCCTTCCAATCGGCAAGCACAAGAGGCTCAGTGGTTTAGGCCGCAGCGCCACCCGTGTCTCAATAGCATTAATAACAATTGTTATGTACTGGTCTGAATCCTAGAACAATGTCCCACCTCTCTCTCTCTCCCCCCCCCCCCGTTTTACAAGGGAAATACTATAAGCAGGAAGGAGCTGGTAGGCATTGTAAGACCCACTGCAGGCAGGTGGGGGCTTACTGGGGGCACTCTGAGGTTGGCAGGGCAATGCCAGCCCCTTGCCCTAATGGACCAACTCCCCCTGGGGGGCTCCAGTGCCCTGGGCAACCATGGAGACTAGGGATCTTGTGGTGGTGAGTAGTTTGGTTTGCAGCCTTAGGCGGGGGCCTTAAAGCGAAATATAGAATTGGGATGTTCCAAGTGCACCAAAAGCGAACCAAAGCAGGCTCGGAAATGAAAAACCGGATCATTCCACCCGGGGCTCATTCTCTGTTCCACTACCCCCGCTCTGCAGCATGGAACCTTCCGAAGCGCCGGCCGCGGCCACTCCCCCCCCCCCCGCTTTCCGAAGTGGAACGCGCCGCGTTGACCCGTTGCCATGGAGACCGGCGAGGCCCCGTCCGGCGCGTCGCTTCCGCCCTGCGATAGGAGGGATTCGAGGCGGCTGGTTGGGTGGGATTGCTGCTCGTGTCGCTGCGGCGCTTAGTTCTCCCCTCTCCCGTGTTGGAGCCAGGTCTTGAGGGGTGGGGTGGGCGAAATGCTGGGCCGAGGGGGCAGCTGAGGGGTGTGGTGTGGTGGTGGTGGGGCAAAATGGTTCTGCGGCTGCGTGAGGCGGGGGAAGCCGGCGGCCAAGAAAGGGTTAATTTAAAGGGGCGTCGGGGGTCTCGTCGGAAGGGCGCCGGGTTATTCTTGGGCGGGGCGGGGTAGGGCTGGACTGGTGGAGAACCCGCTCTGCATGCAGAAGCCACCCCCCCGTCCTTTTGCATGCAGAGCCTCATATCCTGGAGAGCTGCTGCCAGTCAGTGTAAGCAATACTGAGCTAGATGACGTGATGTCTTGATTTGGGAATTTTTTTCTTTTCTTTTACAAGGCAGCTCCCCTGAATTTACAGGGGTTCCTGCTGAAGGGCCAAACATGAAATACGGTACCTTCAGCCTAAAAAAACCCCCTGTGGTTTAGGAACTAGAAAGCTTCGCTTGCTTCATTTCTGCAATTGGTGAATCCCCCACCCATGGGCGCAGCCAGATTGTTGTTAGGGTGGGTGCAGAACTTGGTTAGGGGGGAGTGCAGAACTGCCGCGATTGTCAATTAGTTAAGTATTTCTATTGTTTTACTTGATCTAGGGTTGCAGCTCCTCCCCCCCCATACACCCACCATCCCAGCCCTGAAGGGTGGGTGCTGTTAGGCTGCCACCTTTCTTTCTCCTTCCCTCCCCAAGCTGGGCCTTTGGAATGGAACAGCTGCAAATCAGGCGGAAGCCCAGTGGGTGAAGCTGGGGGGGGAGGGGTCTGGGGGGCTTTCCTTGTTGAATTTCTGCCTGCTGCAAATCCACCCTGAGGGGAAAATAAGGTGGGGAATTCTGGTGGCAAAGGGGTGAGGAAAAGGTACTATGATATATATATGGTGGAATTGTTTAAACATCAAACAATTTTGGGAAACAATATATAACGAAATGAAAAAAAATGTTTAGATATTCATTTAGGAAAACACCAGAAGGTTTTCTATTGGGAATATTTCCAGGAAAAACTTAACTTTCAATTGCGGCTCTGGGAGATAACTTGCAGTGGGGTTGTTAAGTAGGTGGCGGAGTTAGGATTTGCATGCAGCAAAGTGATCCTAGATGCATAAGAAGCTGTGCAATACCAGGTCAGGCACTCTTTGCCTGCGATCTAGCATCGTAGTGTCTGCTCCAACTGGCAGTGACTCTTCTGGGTCTCTGGCAGAGAAGGTTGTTTCTTCTCACATGCCGCCTAATTCCTTTCATCGGAGATAACCAGCAGTTTATTTATTTATAAGATTTTCCAAGGTGTGCAAGGCACCGTACATGTTTTTTCCTTCCTTATTTTATCCTTAAAGCAACCCTGTGAGGTGGGTTAGGGTAAGAAACACTGACTAGACCGATGTCACCCAATGAACTTCGTGGCTGAGTGGGGCATTCAACTGGAGTCTTCCCTCTCTCTGCCCTAGTCTCAATCACACTTGCTGACTTTCTTCCTCATGCAAAAGATGTGCTCTGGCCCTTCTTTCATTTGCACATTCATTAAAACTTATAGTTCAGACTGTCCTGAATGCTTATGAAGGGTAGCAACAATCAATTGTTAAATGTTTTTAAAAGTGTGAAATATATAGCAAATCATAATCTCCCCAAAGAGCTTCAACAAGCAATTGGTGTGGTTGGAATTGTGACCCTTTTCATACATGGACCAGTTGGATAAAAGAATGCCTAATAACAGAATGTTCCACTCTTGTAGAATACAGTCGTACCTTGTTTTGCGACCAGGATCCGTTCCGGAGCCCTGAACGCTAGACAAAAAGGATGCACAACAAAGCGCCGCTCTGCGCACACGCGCGGAGTGGTTTATGCTTCTGCACATAGCACAATTTAGCGCTTCTGCACATGCGCGAGTAGCAAACCTGGAAGTAACCCGTTCCGATACTTCTGGGTTTGCTGCGGACGTTTGATGAAATGGACGCTCGACAAGGCGGACTCAAAACGAGGTGCTACTGTAGCTGTGACAAAGCCCTATTGAAACCCTTCTACTCCAGACTCACTCCTATTTCACCACCATGAGCAGTTCTGTCTTTTCTCATGCGTGCTCCCAGCAATTCTGTTTTGCACACAGAAGGTGCCTGGTTCAACCCCCAGAATCTCAAGGTAGGGCTGGGTGACAGTCCCATCTGAAATCCTGGAGAGCTGCTGCCGGTCAGTGTGTAGACAATACTGAGCTAGCTGGGCCAGCGGTCTTGTAATTATATGTGTTCTTAACTGGCAGAAAACCCAATGTAGCTAGCTCTCTGTCCATTGTCACATTTGTGTAGGGCACAGAATGAACATACAAAGCTGCATTTTATTGGGCCCATCTAACCCAATATGTTGACTCTCCAAGGGTTTCCGCTGCCTTATTACCTGTATGCTGCCTTTGCTTTGTGGCAGGATATGCTGGGAATATAACATGAAGAGCATTTGTATGTAAAGCATATAGAGCACAGAACTGCAGCCCCCCTGCAGTGTTGCCATATGCTGCTGCTGAGTCTAATGTTGCCATTTGGGAGGGGCTTAATTGACTGTTGCTTGCAAGAAAGGCAGATGAGTGCCAGGTTACTCATCTGTGTCTTTCTTCCATAGACTTATTTCTATGTGCTTTTAAGATGGTAACGCAAGCCTTTAGAGCTTTTGATTTGTTCCACCTAACACTCCCCTTCTGTACCTGGTTACCAACTTTTTATTTTATTTTACAGAGTTTTCCCCCTAGTTGCCTTCTTCAGATGTTTGATTTGCTGACATTAGCAGACGATGATAATAATTGTCTCCATCTTTTAACCGTTGCTTATTTATGTTGCTGATCAAGCTGCTGTAAAGGTGCAGATGAAGTTCAGGGTATTTTAGTTGACAAACCAATGTATGCCTCAACACCTCGGCTGAATTCTTCTTCTTGCTTAAAACTTTATTTTTCAGTTTCTGATAATACTTGTAAGCAACAACTCCTAGCTTGCTTCCCACTTTCAGAATACGAACCTCAATTTCTAAGAGGCTAGTGGTGAGCCTCCATTCTTAAATGGTAATATGTGAATTATGTATATAGATCATGCAAATTGTTCACTCAAATCTTTTGGTCACTTAAGTCTTGCAGAGGTTTTTTGGAGATTTTCCGCTATGTATATCCCACTTTTCTTAAACAATTCAAAGTAGCTCAAAAGCAAGCTCAGTAAAAAAAGAACAAATAAATACATAGTATAATAAGAATTACACATCAGCAGAGAGAAGAAAAATGAAATCGACAGACTATTATCCAGCCAATATAACCACAGAAAAGCAGGGAAGAATCCATATCAGAAAGAAGACAGAAAAGAGGGCCAACTAACCATTCTCCAAAATCTCCTTAGAGAGCCAGGTTTTAAAGCTTCTGAAGGCTGTGTTGGGCCAGATGAGCATCCTTGGGGAGTTCCAAGGAATGAAACAGGGATCTGCTAGTAGACACCTATTAAAAAGTAGGGCCTTTGATGCGGAAGGGAATGAGTAAGAATAGGGGTTTTTGTTTTTTTTTTACATTTGTAGTTTTGTACAAAAGAAACAGTTGCAAAGTGACTTAACCACAAGAAGCACTACAGATGAAACAAAACCAGATAATTTTAAACACCAAAATCCATACCATGCTCACCCAATAACATATTCATAAGGACAAGTCCTACCACTAAATGGTGATCATCACTATAGGGGCCAATATTACCATTTGTTCTACATATTTAATTCCTACACCTCTAATTCTGTTTACTATATAAACTTAATCTAGTTGGATTAAATTACTCTAGTCTTTTTTTTAAAGAAAGCATACCTTCGTCACGTGTATCCTGTACTCGTTTTTAGTGCTGTATAGCTATTTTATTTATTTTAAATATATTTCTACGTCTCTTCATTGTAGAGCGATTTCACAGCAGGGTACAATTTAAGTAATAACTGATGGAATCGGCAAAATGTCTGGGTTTTGGAAATGTCCCCCCCCCCCAAAAAAAAAATCTCAGCAACTTTCTTTGGGTGACCCCCCCCCCGCAAAAAAAAAAAAAAATCTCAACAATTTTTTGTCTCGATTTTCACTTCTTGAAATATGGCAACCCTAATGTAAAAGCAATGGCATATTAAGGAGAGAGAAATTAAGAGCCTCATCAAAATGTAACCAACCAATCTTTCAAAGGCCTGTGTGAGCGACAAAGTCTTTAACTGGTATTGGAAATTCAACAGTGTTGGCAGCTTCCATGAATGTGGAATTCCATGAGTCCTGCCCTAGCCGTAATGACAAGGTTCTGCTTCCACTGTCAGAGGCAGCCGGCATTCCAGTTGCTGGGAACCACAAATGGAGAGATTTTGCTGTTGCATCTAGGTCCTGCCTTGGGGCTTCCCATAGGCACCTTGCTGGCCACTGAGGAGAGGATCTTAGACTAGGACGGGCTTTTCGTCTGATCCAGCAAGGCTCTTCTGATGTTCTTGTGACAGTGATTAACAGAATTATGCTTTCTCATATGGTAAAGGTAAAGGTACCCCTGACCATTAGGGCCAGTCGCGGACGACTCGGGGGTTGCAGCGCTCATCTTACTATATAGGCCGAGGGAGCCGGCGTTTGTTGGCAGACAGGTCATGTGGCCAGCATGACTTAAGTCGCTTCTGGCGAACCAGAGCAGCGCACGGAAAACCATTTACCTTCCCGCCAGAGCGGTACCTACCATATTTTTCACCCTATAGGGGAAATGTGTGTGCGTCCTATGGGGCGAATGCAGGCTTTCGCTGAAGCCTGGAGAGCGAGGGGTGTCAGTGTGCACCGACCCCTCTCGCTCTCCAGGCTTCAGGAAGCTATCGGCTAGCCGTGGGAGACGCAGCTCTCCCACGGCTAGCGGAGAGCTTCCCGGCACCCAGAAGCTTGGGGCGCGCTGAGCTCAGCACGCCCCAAGCTTCGGACTTCGCGCAGCCCTCCGCTAGCTGTGGGAGAGCTGCGCAAAGTCGCGCAGCTCTCCCACATCTAGCGGAGAGCTTGCCGGCACCCAGAAGCTTGGGGCACGCTGAGCTCAGCACGCCCCAAGCTTCGGGCTTCGCGCAGCGCTAGCCGTGAGAGAACCGCGCGACTCTCCCACAGCTAGCGGAGAGCTTGCCGGCACCCAGAAGCTTGGGGTGTGCTGAGCTCAGCACACCCCAAGCTTCGGACTTTGCGCAGTCCTCCGCTAGCTGTGGGAGAGCTGCGCGACTTCGCGTAGCTCTCCTATGGCTTGCGGATAGCAGCCTGTTCTGGAGGCTGGGGTCGTGGGAAGCTCGGGCTTCCCCCGCCCCAGCCCCGCCCCTGGGGGGGAAAATATATATTTTTCTTTATTTCCCCCCCAAAAAAACTAGGTGCGTCCTATGGGCCGGTGCGTCCTATGGGGCGAAAAATACGGTATTTATCTACTTACACTTGATGTGCTTTCGAACTGCTAGGTGGGCAGGAGCAGGGACCGAACAACGGGAGCTCACCCCGTCGCAGGGATTTGAACCACCGACCTTCTGATTGGCAAGCCCTAGACTCAGTGGTTTAGACCACAGCACCACCCGTGTCCCTTGCGCCACCCGTGTCCGTTTTCTCATATAGTAAGCACCCCCCCCCCAAATTCTGTAACAGTAACCGTGTTGCATCTGCTGCTGCAAAAAAGCATTAGAACAGTCCCTTAACAAATATTTTATTTTTTAGAATTTTATTTTAAAACAATTTAGCATGTGTGGCATAATCCAGCTTTGTCCAGTTCGCCATATGCACAGGCTTAGTGGGGCTTTCTTATGGGTAAACACACATTGAATTAGCCTGTGCCTGCAATTCCCTGAATGCTTGTTTGGGAGAAAGCACTACTGAATTCATTGGGATCTACACCCAAGTAAAGATGATTTTAGCATGTTGCTGCATCATAGTTGTTTGTGTGCTAAAATGAGTGATTGGCTTTCCTATTTCCCTTTTTAAATATATAGTTGGAATTGGTAACAGGTTATGAATATTGTCTTTATTTATTTATTTTTTCGTTTCTGAGCAGATATCAAGTCTGTACAACTTCTTGTATTGCTGTAACTGTTTGACAATTGGCAATCATGAGCGTCAATGACTTTGTGATTCTCCCTGGTTCAAAAACTGGAGTCTCTGTAAAACTGAAAGCAAAGTAAGTTCATTTCCTGTAACTGTCTTGTGTGCTTCAATAATCTATTGGCTTTTTATGTGCACCATGAAAGCAAGCTATTCCTAACTATGAACAGAGCGATCATCTGCATGATGAGTTCAATGGCGGTGTTGTTGTTTTTACACACCTAGTTATGTGTGTATAGGATTGCAGCTTATGGCTACTGTCACAAAATAATTTGCTTGGAGTTACTTCTGTTGAAACATATGGGATTTGCTTCCAAGTAAATGGGTTTAAAATTGCGTGTTTCTGAACCGTGCTGATCATATTATATTGTATACGGGAGGAGGAAAATCTGAATTTGGTGTCTGAACTTAAATCTCACTTCAGAAGTATACGAGAGCTGCAGTTGGAGAAGGTTCAGCTGGAACTTGAAAATAAAGAGATGGAGAAGACACTTCAGCAGCTACAATCAAACATGAGCAGAGAAAAACAAGAGAGAGAGTAGGTGAAATTTAATGATTTGAAATTAAGAGTGATGATTCTAGTGAATCCCTGCTCCCCCGACCCCAAACCCCCACTTTTGGGGACTGGGTTGAGTTGTATTCCTCAAGAGTTCTTTCTTTAATTATTATTTGATTTCGAACTCCACCTGTCTGCTGTTTGCACCCGAAGTGTCTTTCAGTGCAAGAAATCTACACAGGAAAAGATATCACCATCTTAAAATACATAACAACATAACTTTAAAAAAATTGAGTAAATAAGATCGGTTGAAACAAAGAGCAGCCAATTAAAATTGCCAACCTCCCCATTTTCAGTTGGATAACAGCTGTAAGATTTCACATTGCTTTTGTGCTTTTCCTTTTTTTAAAAAACAACAACCAATAGCTCGTGGCATGGTTTCCCCCTGCCTCTTATGTGCACTCTCCAGGGGTGCTCTATGCTCAGCTGGTAGAAGTCTAAGTGAAAACTTCCAATTGTTCCTCATCTGGCCGTAGGGGCAAAGTGGATTTTAAACTGAAAAGTGGCTTGCCTATTCATCTGTGCCAGCAGCAGATGTAGAAACATCAAGATAACCCCCAACTATGTATCTGCTTCTGCCCTGTGCTGCCACATTGCTTTGTAGAATTGCAGCCTTTGTCTTTTGCTGCTGTTGGGATTTTGATACCAGAATTCAATTTCAATCCCCACTCTCACCCAATGAACTCTGTTTGGTATTCTTTCAGGGTGCTTCATTGTTCATGAAACGGTCATTATCTTTTAATAGAATCTCAATTCTATATGAGTTTTAAGTGCATATGCATGCATTTACAAAAAAAACACAAGGAAGTTGTAATTGTTCTGTATTTGATAGAATCCATTTAGGAAGTCAAAATGTTCTGCAGACAAAGCACAACGCTGAATATCTGTAACTCTTCTCTTCAATTCCGAGAGCCACTTTTATTAACCTCTCTGTATCTGTTTCTCTTTCTCGGTAATGTGAATAATAATGCTAACTTTCCTCTCTCAGAAGAGCTTTGCAAGGGTGCAGTCATTAGTGTTCTGCTGCGCTTAACAAGATATATGGTTCTGTTTAAGTGTTAAGTGTTGCTAATTGCCTTGGATCATAATCATTAATTTCTGCATCCTTTCTCAGAACATTTAATGCTGGATTCTAGCTAGGAGAAGCTCATTTTTTAAAAGCAATGGCACTTCATTTTTTAGTTCATAATAATTTGTTTTGCTGTTCATTTGCAAAGGAGCAAAATAGTACTGGAACTGGAAGCAACTAATATTCTCTAAATGGGATTTTCCCCAGTACAGTCATACCTCGGGTTGAATGTGCTTCAGGTTGAGCGCTTCTGGGTTTCGCCGCTCGCACATGTGCAGACGCTCAAAATGGCATCATGCGCGGAAGCGGGAAAACGCGACCCGCAGTCGTGTCTTACGTTCTGTTCAGGATGTGAACGGGGCTCCGGAACGGATCCCGTTCGCATTCCGAGGTACCACTGTATGTTAACAGTGTATTGAAAGTTGGGAAATGCTAGGTTTAAGAATCCTGTAATTTGCAATGGATGTGAGGGAACATGGTCAGGAAATCATGACTAGCTGGGGGAGAAAGGCTTCTGTAATGCATAAAGCCACCTAGTTTAGTAATATCAAAGGCTTGAACCCAAGGTCTTCTTGATTCATACCTTATTCAACCTTATAGTCATAGTCACCATGCTACATCTAGGAATATCAGATAATTCTAACAAAATTCAGGAACAGAAATGGCTGGTGTTCATTTAGTTGTCCCATCTTCAGAACGGAGACCAATCCATTCTGAATGCATTCCTCCCCCTTTTGCATTACATTTTTTTCTGCATTGAAATGAATGGGGTGAACTAACATAATGACAACGTAGTTTTGCCACAGTGTACAGCAAGACAGATAATGTAGTTTTTAGTGGAACTGCAATAGAACAGAAGAAGTACTGCATGTGATGAGTACAGGGCAGAACAGAAAAGAATGCCTTCGTACATCCTTAGCTATACCCAGTGCTTTTTTCCCCTATTTTTTTTTTTAAGGGTACAGTGGTACCTCGGGTTACAGATGCTTCAGGTTACAGACACTTCAGGTTACAGACTCCGCTAACCCAGAAATAGTACCTCAGGTTAAGAACTTTACTTCAGGATGAGAACAGAAATCGCGTTGCATGACCTCCAGAACGAATTAAGTTCTTAACCAGAGGTACCACTGTACAGTACTCTCATTTTCCCGCTCATATTGAAATACTGCCCCTCAATGTGGCCAAACTTAGATTCACAAAATGTTTAGGGGTATGCGTACCTCTAGAAGAAAAGCACTGGGTAGATCAATGCATCTAGTTTGATGCTTCTGTCTGGTTCAAAGACACAACTAGTGACATCCGCTGCCGGTCAACCAACTTGGCAGTAGAAATCAGTGGGACTTTTAGTTTTTATTCTCCTCTGGACTCCCAACATCTGCAAGGAAGGCTCCTTCAACCCATTGCAGATTTCTTTTTGGGGGGCAGGGGTGGAGAGGATGCTACCCGCTATTTAATGTAAATTACACAACATACATAACTATTTGCATAACTTATGTAACTTTACTTTCATTTCAAAGTAAAAAAAAATCACAATAATCTAAAAGCAGTGATCAATTATGTATTGTTTGTGTTCTTAAAAACAACAATGTGAATGGATACAGATTGCATTTGCTTGGCTGACGTCTGTTGCTGACCACAGATGAACATGTGAGCTGCAGCAATTTGCTCTTCCTTTTCTGTTTTTGTTTTAATTATCTGACACCCTTTGATGAAGCAGCAGGCCCACCTCCCTCTCCAGCCCTTCCTTAAACAGAAAAACCTTCGTTGAACCAATGGTTGGTGCTGCTTTAATTGTGAGGAGAAGCCGAGGCCTTGGCATGGCTGCAAATGGATGAATTTGCTCCCAGTCCCTTCATGCCAGTATTGGGAGGATAGGGTAACATCCTTTGCCCTGTCAGGCATGATGAAAGTCGCATGAGGGGAAGTGGAGTCACTTTGCAAGTCCTGATCGCTTAGGTGCATCACTGTTTCCTGCCCGGAGGGTGAAGACTTAAAGCCTCCTATGCATGTAGAGCAGGCGTCCTCAACCTTGGCCCTCCAGATGTTTTTGATTTATTATTTGTACCCCGCCCATCTGGCTGGGTTTCCCCAGCCACTCTGGGCGGCTTCCACAGAGACCAAAAATACACTAAAATGTCACACATTAAAAACTTCCCTGAACAGGGCTGCCTTAAGATGTCTTCTGAATGTCAGGTAGTTGTTTATCGCTTTGACATCTGATGGGAGGGCGTTCCACAGGGCGGGCGGCATGACCGAGAAGGCCCTCTGCCTGGTTCCCTGTAGCTTTGCTTCTCGCAATGAGGGAACCGCCAGAAGGCCCTCGGCGCTGGACCTCAGCGTCCGGGCAGAACGATGGGGGTGGAGATGCTCCTTCAGGTATACTGGGCCGAGGCCATTTAGGGCTTTAAAGGTCAGCACCAACACTTTGAATTGTGCTCGGAAATGTACTGGGAGCCAATGTAGGTCTTTCAAGACCGGTGTTATGTGGTCTTCATGGCTGCCCCCAGTCACCAGTCTAGCTCCCATGAGCTCTAGCTAGCATGACCAGTGGTCAAGGATGATGGGAATTGTAGTCTCAAAACAACTGGAGGGCCAGGTTTGAGGAAGCCTGATGTAGAGTAAAACTGGCCCACCTTCCTGCATCCCAGCGGTGGGAGGGGAAAGTGGGCGGGATGACAGATGTGAGTCTTACCTTTGTACAATGGACATCATTTGAGTTACGGGCAGCTGTATTTTTACACACCTCCCTCCAGGCAAGCAAGAGGATTATTGCAGTTCAATGACACATTCTGGTAAAGCAAAACGGGGCTTCCGTTATCACTTTGTGGGTGGATATTGGACTTTTTGTCAGACCGCCCCCAGAGGGTTCGGTTGGGCCCTTATACCTCTAGTATGCTTAAGACTAACACAGGAACACCACAGGGATGCGTACTCAGTCCGCTCCTATATATTCTCTACACGTACGATTGTGCCGCTGCTCACCCTAGTAATAGGGTTGTCAAATTTGCAGATGACACAACCGTGATTGGGCTCATCTGTGAAAGGGAGGGTGAAACGGACTATAGAGATGAGGTGGAGCGGCTGACAGAGTGGTGCAGAGCTAACAACTTGCTCATAAATATAAGGAAGACAAAGGAGCTTGTGGTGGACTTCAGGAGACAGAAGAGCAATGTCCAGCCACTTTTGATTGATGGGGTCTGTGTGGAGAGGGTAACAACGTTCAGATTTTTGGGCATTGAATTACAAGAGGATCTGTCCTGGAGTGTCAACATAAGGGGGCTTGTGAAGAAGGCGCAGCAGAGACTGTACTTTTTGAGAATTCTAAGGAAAAACCATCTTCCGCAGAAACTGCTGCTTGCCTTCTATCACTGTGCCATTGAGAGCGTGCTCACTTATGGCTTATGTGTGTGGTACGGAAGCTGTACTACCCAGGACAGGATGGGGTTGTGCAGAGTTGTTAAGGCAGCAGAGAGCATTGTTGGCTGCCCACTCTCCACCTTAGAGCAGATTTATGCCACAAGGTGCCATAGGAAGGCACTGGACATAGTAAAAGATCCATCGCACCCTGGTCACTGTCTCTTCGAGCTCCTGCCGTCGGGACGGAGATACAGGACGATGAAGACAAGAACGAGCCGTCTTAAGAACAGCTTCTTCTCCAGAGCGATCTCGGCCCTGAATGGGAAGCCTGGACTTTGAAAGTCATCTAATCTTCCTTGCTGTATTATACTGTATTGTTTTAATTAGTGTTTTTATAGTTGTTTTGATTTTGTGTGGAGTGCCCTACCTGGGTGGATGGAGCAGCCAAGTAATTTCGTTGTCCCCGAGAGGGGGCAATGACAATAAAGATATTATTATTATTATTATTATTATTATTATTATTATTATTAAAAGCACTTCAGGGGTGTCATGGTAGCAGGACCAGGGTGAGGTATGGCATGGGGAGAGGCCCAGAGGGCAGCTAGGGAGGCCCAGAGGGCAGCATTCAGCCCCTTAGGCCTGAGATTCTGCATTCCAGTTGTGGAGACTCCCTGCATAGTATAATAATATTAATTGCACTCCACTCTCCCTCTTGTGATTTTCATTATGTGAACAAAGAATGCCGGAATAGGTCTTCTTTTTTATTGACGTTATTCCTATTATTCAAAAATAGCATAGCAGCCAGCTAAGACAGACACACTCATTTTAATTAATACATGAGCAGTAATAACAATAATGAATGCAGCAGCAGGCCATACTAATGGGCCACGAAGGCCTCAGTTGTGCCAAAAACACATTGCAGCTGGTGTTTGTCAGATTTATATTCCAAAGGTAAAGAATCTAGGAAACCACCCCCTCCAACAATACTTTCTGTTTCCCTGTTTTTAGAAGTTTACCTTTGGTATTGGCAGGGTAGGGGGAAAGGAGAGCAGTAAAAATTCCTCTTCTTAATCTGAAAACATGTACAAATGCAGTTTGGAACTTTTATAGACGAGCAAGTGGATATCGCTGGAAATCAGGCCAAGCTGGCCTGGGCATGCAGCCCCAACTGTTGTTGCAGAACAAAGAGAATGTTGGAAAGGTAAGACTCTCACTAGAATTCCAATAAGGTAGGCTTATTGTAACTTAGGGCTTTGTTCAAAAGGTTGCTAACTCTGCAAAGCCATTAATTGAACCGTTTTCCTCATCTCTGTTGCACCACCTTTAAAGGAAATGGAGAAGGGCGATGTTTTTTCCCTCTCCTATGAAGAAGTTTGCTTTGAATATTGCAGAAACCACCTAAAAACGACCCATTAGCTTGTAGCTTCATTGAATTTCAGGGTTGCAACAGATTGAAGTTATTTTCACCGATGAGAAACACTTCAGAATTATTATGCCTTTATTCCACGTTATGCTGTCTTGTTCCTGGGTATGTTTTCATTGTTCATTTTATTTTTCTTTCTTTCTTGCTGTTCTGCCAGTGTTTTTCTGTCCACCAGCTGCTGCTGCAATTGCACGATGAGAGAAAAAAGGTTTTCAAAGTTGTTACGAATGCAAGGCTAGCAGTGTGTGTGGGGGAAATAAGACACTGTATTTGCAGTTATTGATGTACTTGATAGTATTTTCCAGCCCTCCTAGGCTGATTCATATGGCGACTTTTGAGGATTTTTTAAAAAAACCATTTTGGGTAGTATTTTTTTTTAATCAACCAGCACTAAATGTGACTCAACCTTTCGGAGAAGCAATCTTCTGAGCACGGTTGTGCATCCAGATTCTGATTTTCTGGGCCGCATTGTAAAATGCTTCAAAACTGTCTGTTGCATGATGTGGAAATAAGTCTGACTACAGTGGTACCTCGCAAGACGAATGCCTCGCAAGACAAAAAACTCGCAAGACGAAAGGGTTTTTGGTTTTTTTAGTTGCTTCGCAAGACGATTTTCCCTATGGGCTTGCTTCACAAGACGGAAACGTCTTGCAAGTTTGTTTCCTTTTTCTTAACACCGTTAATACAGTTGCGACTTGACTTCGAGGAGCAACTCATAGCACGCGGTGTGGTAGCCTTTTTTGAGGTTTTTGAAGACTTTGGTGATTTTTGAAGCTTTTCCAAAACTTTTCCGAAACCGTGCTTCGCAAGACGAAAAAAATCGCAAGACGAAAAAACTCGCGGAACAAATTAATTTCGTCTTGCGAGGCGCCACTGTACTTGGACAACTATGTTCCACATGCATGCTAACATGAGATGAATAGAAAACAGTCAGTATGACCAAAAATGACATTAAAATCAGCCCAGATTTTAAATCATGTCTAACATAGCTCTTTGCTTTTTATTTTAACTAGGTTTCATCAGGCAAGATAAAACTAAGAATACTCAAAGAACAAATTCCAGGTAAAAGGATACTAGTGTTGGAAAAACTGTTATAGGAATATAGATAACTGCCTTGTACCAAGTCAGACCATTGGTCCATTTAACTCAGTATAGTCAACACTGTGTGGCAACACTGTCTGGCTCTATAATAATAATAATGATAATTTATTATTTATACCCTGCCCATCTAGCTGGGTTTCCCCAGTCACTCTGAGCGGCTCCCAACAGAATTAATGATGATAATAATAATAATAATGAAGTGATAAAACATCAGCCATTAAAAGCTTCCCTAAACAAGGCTGCCTTCTGATGTCTTCTAAAAGTCAGATAGTTGTTTATTTCTTTGACATTTGATGGGAGGGTGTTCCACAGGGTGGGTGCCACTACTGAGAAGGCCCTCTGCCTGGTTCCCTGTAACCTCACTTCTTGCAGTGAGGGAACTACCAGAAGGCCTTCAGAGCTGGACTTCAGTGTCTGGGCTGAACGATGGGGGTGGAGACGCTCCTTCCGGTATACTGTGCCGAAGTCGTTTAGGGCTTTAAAGGTCAGCACCAACACTTTGAATTGTGTTTGGAAACATACTGAGAGCCAATGTAGGTCTTTCAAGACTGGTGTTATATGGTCTCGGCGGCCACCCCCAGTCACCAGTCTCGCTGCCACATTCTGGACTAGTTGTAGTTTCCGGGTCACCTTCAAAGGTAGCCCCACATAGAGCGCATTGCAGTAGTCCAAGAGGGAGCTAACCAGAGCATGCACTACTTTGGCGAGACAGTCTGTGGGTAGGTAATACAAAATAAAAAAATTCCTTCCAGTAGCACCTTAGATGCACGCGAAAGCTCATACCAATAACAAACTTAGTTGGTCTCTAAGGTGCTACTGGAAGGAATTTTTTTATTTTGTTTCGATTATGGCAGACCAACACGGCTACCTACATGTAACTAGAACTGTGGGTAGGTAGTGTCTCAGCCTGCATACCAGATGGATCTGGACACAGAATTGACCTGCACCTTCATGGACAGCTGTGAGTCCAAAATGACTCTCCTGGGTTTGGGGCTGGAGTCTTTCTCAGCCCTAACTGAGACCTGCGACACTTTGCATGAAAAACAGGTGTCTTACTACTGAGCTATGATCTTTCCCCAGGGTTTTCATTATACCTTGTAATCAAGTTACATTGAAAACTTCGGCTAATGGTTAGACAGACTATGCCACCTTGACAAAATACTTACTTTTGAAAAGTGGCTACCCAATGAAATAAATAAATTCATAAATTGAGCTTTGGGGGAACTTTTGGTCAGTACCTGTGGAATTCAGTTTTAAGGATTAACATGAGACTCTGGAACACAGGAGACGTATCCTCCTCCAGTCTTGAAAATCAGGCCCATTGACCTACTGCCCAAATAAACCTAACAAGTTGCATAAGCCATAAGGAATGCACTAAAAAATCTGAGGTACATCAGATATTTTTTAGAACTTTCAGTGTCTCAGACTATCTTGAAGTCTTGTTATAATTATAACACACTTGCAGCCATATAGCTGCCTTCCTGACATCAGCATTGCTAGAGCTTTAGTCAGTGTTGTTTGTCATTCCCCGAGTTCACGAGGCTCATTTGATGGCAACAAGAAAACCAAGCCTTTAGCTTCAAAGGCTCAGTTTTGTGGAATACTCTTGCCAATAGAGGTTCAGGCGATACCTTCTGTTTCAACTTTTAAACATTCACAGAAAAAAATTCTATTCTGTCAGGCTCACGCAGGCAGTTGCGAATGCATCTTTCAACAATAGTTTGTTGGTTTTCGAACTTAAAATGTTTATATGGCTGTTTGGTTTTATATAAACAGTGGTACCTCAGAAGTCGAACGGAATACGTTGCGGTAGTCCGTTTGACTTCCAAAACGTTTGGAAACCAAGGCGTGGCTTCCGATTGGCTGTGGGAAGCTCCTGCAGCCAATTGGAAGCTGTGGAAGCTGCGTCAGATGTTCGGGTTCCAAAGAACGTTTGCAAACTGGAACACTCACTTCCGGGTTTGCGGCGTTCGGGAGCCAAAACGTTTGACTCACAAGGCATTTGGGATCCAAGCTACAACTGTATACTGCTGTAAACCGCTCTGATACTTATTATGAGAAGTGATCAATAAATATTTTTATAAATAAGGCAAGCCTACCTGGATGGCGTGGGGGCAGGGCATCAGTGTGATTAGGGCTGCATGGATGCAATGGAGCAGCCAATTTGCTGCATGGCCCCAACCTCACCACCATCCAGGGAAGCTGTAGTGACACCCGAGTCAGGAGAGCAGATCTAAGGGTCTCTCTTGCCACACCAGCCATTATTGTTAAAATGAGTTGCAGTTAAGTAATAAAATTGTAGTCTGAAGTCTTTGCCATCCAACTGGGATGTTTTTATCTGAACACAAACAAGCTCTTGCCTTGTTACTTCATTTTTATCTAGTGATCTAACAGTATCCTATAAACCTGTGGGTTTTAATTCTCTGAGTCCACATGTGCACTGTGGTTTGTCCACATGCTTCCACCTCTCATACAGAGCATTCCCCATCAGTGCCTCATTTTAATCTGTACAGTTTATGGCTTAAAACAACAACAGCAACAATGCTCTACTACATTTTGCAGCTCCAGAGCCAGCTAAGCAGCCGCTTGCAAGTAAAGTAGCAAAAGATGCAGCCCCTGAAAAGCCCAAAGTGAAGGGAAAGGCATGTGGGCAGTGTGAGACAAAGACTGCGCTCTTGGTAAGTACATGAAAGAAAGGAAGAATAGCCGCACTTATTAGTTCAGTGCACTCTTGAAATACTTTTAAATTATTTCTCTGTGGTGGGGTTTTGTTTAATGCCTATGAAGGCTAGTAAGTACCCCATATTGGATTTTCTTAAAATACTGTTTTACACTATCTGAAATTGAGCACAAAAAAAAAAAATAAAAAAAAAATTGTCCAGTAGCACCTTATAGACCAACGAAGTTTGTTCTGGTATAAGCTTTCATGTGCATGTGCACTTCTTCAGATCTTTTTTATTTTTATTTCCACTGCGTCAGACCAACACAGTTACCTACCTGAATCTGAAATTGAACATGTTGGTGACTGAGCAGACTGGCAAATTGGGCCAAAAATATGAAGCAAGAAACTATTGCTGAACTTACTGCTCTGCGTACTATGCTTCGTTTGTAAAATGATTTGCACATTTCATGTTTTTTTTTAAAGAATAAAACACTATCACTGTTTGCATTTCAGACTAGCCCCTTCATAAAGAGGAGGTTAAAATACCTGTCCTATATTGTTCAGACGATTCAGACATTATTCTACAATCTCTCTCTCTGCACCATCCCCCCAGTAATTCATACTATACTGTGTTCATATCTGTTTCCTGTCTTGCTTCCTTCTTCCTTGCTCAACCCATCTTTAATAGATCACATAGTTGTGGAATCTATAGAACAGGGATGCCCAACTCCCAAGTTGGCAGGGCTAAGGGAGCAGTGCTGGCTTTGACTCTCCATCAAGCCCCACCCCCAAGATAGCTTAAAACTTGAACTTTCATTCAGATCCATGAGACTTGGCTTAGTCATGGCTAACCTGCCCCCTCTGATTTCAACGCGGGATCTGACAAAGGCGATTCCACTGGAAGGGGGCTACTAACTAAGAGTGCAACACCATCAAGAAGGCCAGACAGTAGGGAGAGAGGCACTCCGGAAAGCAAGTCCCAAATTATTTGGGGCTTTCTAAATTATCTGGCTCCCATGCATCAAAAGACGCAAGAAGTGCATGTGCTATAAAATGCCTAGAAAGGCCCTTAAGGTAATGTTTATAATAAATCAATGGAGAAAACGTTTAATCCCAAGTTCGGTCTGTTTAAAATGTAAGCTTCCCCCAGATAGATGCAGACAATGGCACAATAATTTGCTTAGGTGAGATAGAGTTGTACCTAATTGGGGTGACGTTTTAATTAAAGTGACAGCCTGACTGAACACCAGTTGCAAACTTGAAATCCCACTTCACACTTGTCACTTTCTGCCTTCAGTTTTTAGCTTCCCATCGTGAGCTGTGATGAGACAATGAAAGCTGTGTTATTAACCTTAGGCTACAATCTTATATGCACACTTCCCTGGGACTTAGGTCTCAACGAACTCAGTGGGGCTTTCTTCAGATAGACATGCAGAGAGCTTTGGTGCTAGTTCATGTTTATGCCTTCATTTTCTTTTTTTCAAGGTGTGCTTAGAGTGCGGAGAAGATTACTGTCCTAGCTGCTTTGCCAGAGTGCACCAGAAGGGGGCACTTAAGCTCCACAGAACTACTTCTTTGCAGGTATGTTGCTTTCAAAAGTTTTTATGTTATGATTGTACAATAATCCTCTCGAAGGAGGCACACATCTCATTGCCATTATTATTATCACAATTCCAGGAGCTCCTTTAGTTGTCCCATGTAGAAATCCTTTTGTTGGGATCCTTTTCTGCATTTATTATTTTCTGCTTTTTTATTCATTCATTCATTTAATTTATTTATTTATGCTTGCAATTCCAGGAGCATCTTTAGTTGTCGTACCTTTTTGCTGTGCTGAGGTCATTTTTTCTGCATTTATTCTTAGACAAATTGCTTATATAGAAACAACTGTTTATATAGAAACAATTACAAACCAACTAAAAACTCAGAAAACAAGACTGGAAATGTGTGACCATAATTAGGTTTTTAAAGAAGGTGATTGACACTTGTCAGGTGATTGTTGAAGTGGCTGTAACCGCAAATCAACTGGCCTTCAGAGAAGCTCTCTGACGACTAGCTGATTCTCAGAGGGAGGCCCTTTGAGTCTTGAGTAGAGAGGTGAATGCTCCTAAAACAGAAGCATTTTCCTCTCTGCAGAGAAAGCAGTATGTGTGCAAAATGTTGGGGGAGCACATGAGAATGCACAGTATGCTAAGGTGCTGGGAAAGGGATTTGCCTCCAGACCCTACTTTTGGGGTTCCTGGAGGTATCTGGCTGGCAGCTATGAGGAGGAATATGCTACACTGGTCGGGCCTTTGGTCTGATCCAGAGGGGCCCCTGTTTCATCCTTGATTGCCACAGTGTCTCATGCCATTGTTCCACCAAGCATGACTCAAAACCATCCAGGAATGTGGCTTAACAACACTTATGATGCGCTGTTGAGTGAAACTATATACATCACAATACGGTCATCAACAGTAGCAGAGACAGTCTCTGAAAGGTGGAGTTGAGAGTTTGTTGTCTGAACCTTAGCAAATAGTATAGGAAATTGGCTTGTCATCCGGTGGAGGAGAGGGACCTGAGATAAGTCTCCATAATAGACGTTAACAAGCTCCTGTACCTGCCGTAAGTTATCCCCCAGTGACCAAAGGCATAACGTTTGAAGATTTAGTGCATTCAGCACTACAAAACGCAATCTGTTTCCAAATACATGGCATTGCCACAGTTCTGGTGCAGAAATTCTGGGGCATGTAATTGTACAAAGGGGGAAAGAATTGGCAACATTAAAGGGTCGGAAAAGAAGAAAAGGGAGAAGTTAATGTCCTCAAAGTTGTACACAGGGAAGAGACAGGGCTTCTTAAAGGGAAAATGAAAAATGGGGAGGTGGCTGGAGAGAATATAAGCTTTGTCCTTTGCAGGGAAATAAAGGAGAATTAATAAAAACAATTTCCATCAACTTTTCTCTTGCCATATGTAGCCTTGCTTTGTGATCTGATTGGAAACTTTAGGATGCAGTTCCTCGCCCTTCCATGAAATATTTGTAACTGATTTTTCCTCCTTTGCCTTATTTCAGAGTGAAGTTTGCCACCCTTTAATGCAGTCTGATGTTTCTTTTTAAAATAATAATAACAACAACAACAATTATCTGAATGAGCATGAGGGGACACTTGCATGGCCTAGAAGTGACACTTGTAGTTTACTTGCCTTTCTGTTATTTATTGCCAAAAACAAATTCTCAAAGCATTTGCTACTCTGCTACTCCCAAAGAATAGCTGAGGGTGCCTCCGTGCATGTAGAAAAGAATGAGGACAGGTGTGTAAGAGAGAGAGAGAGAGAGAATCTAAAAGTCAGCAGAGTAGAGAAAGTCAGATGCTGAACATAACAGGCAACACAAAGCAAAGCAATTAGACTGCCTCTTCGTAACATAAAAGAGTATTCACTAATTCCTACAGAAGAGAGAAAGAATTTACACAGTGCGTTACTGGGGCTGTTGATTCTGTTGGAGCATCTGCTTGGAGTACTGCTCTCCAAAGCTTGGAAGAGGAATGATTAGTGGCTCCAGTGCATCATCTGCCACATGGATATGCAATACAACACCCTGTTACCTGTAGAATTGACTTGAATATTCTCCAGTTAGTTTTTTTTAAGTAGCCGCAAACCATTTTTGCGGATTCACATGCACACATGAAACAACAGCTTCGTTGAATATTTGCGTTTTTTATCCTGTTCGTTTCATTGGACTGAATCACACGTGATTTTTCTGATTGTGCAGTCTCCTGGTAGGGGAGTTGGTATATGTGCCATAGGCTTGTATGATCCCTCCTTCCCTTAATCCAGGGGACAGCAAACTTTTTCAGCACCGGGCCAGTCCACTGTTCCTCAGACCTTGTGGGGGGCCGGACTATATTTTGAAAAAAATATATGAACGAATTCCTATGCCCCACAAATAGCCCAGAGATGCATTTTAAATAAAAGGACACATTCTACTCGTGTAAAAACACGCTGATTCCTGGACCGTCCACGGGCCGGATTTAGAAAGTAATGATGATGATAATGATAATGATTATTTATTTATTTATTTATACCCTGCCCATCTGACTGGGTTTCCCGAGCCACTCTGGGCAGCTTCCAACAAAATATTAAAATACAATAGTCTGTCAAACATTAAATAATAGTCTGTCAAACATTAAAAGCTTCCCTAAAGAGGGCTGCCTTCAGATGTCTTCTAAAAGTCTGGTAGTTGTTTTTCTCTTTGACAACTGGTGGGAGGGCGTTCCACAGGGCGGGTGCCACTACCGAAAAGACCCTCTTCCCTGGTTCCCACTTCTAGGCCATGATTGGGCCGGATTCGGCCCCCTGGCCTTAGTTTGCCTACCCATTCCTTAAACACTCCCAAGAGTCAGTTAAAAAAAAAAAAGATCAGTCAAGCTGAACTTTGCCATTACTTTGCCATTACTGGCCATCTATGACTTGGGTTTGTCCTCCAAATTAGGACCAGGAATCGCACATGGAAGCTGGTTTCTAGCCCTGTTTGGGAGAGAGCAAGTGCAAATATAGCTTGCCAGTTCAGTTGCAACAGAACCAGGAAGTAGCAAATGTGAGTCTGAGTGCACGAAAGGAGGAAGGAGCACATAAAATGCTATGTTCTCAGTCTTCCAAACCATTGTTTGAAGAACTGGACATGTTATATGTGAATCAGCCCGTGCGTTCTCTGACTGCTGTTTCAATACCATTTTCTCCCATTACATGCTTCTGCTGGTAATTTCTGCTTCTACACAAACTATTGCTAAATGATAAATCCCTAGTCTTACTAATTCTACCTTGCTTTTCGTCGAGTGATAGCCTAGATTGTGTTCCAAAACATTTCAGCAATGTGTAGACAGTTGCCTCTTCAATTGTCTACTTCTGATCCTTCTCCACTCAGCTCACTCTTGAAACAATGGGTGAAATTCCTGGGAATAGGGATTTTTTTGGAAATCCAGAATAGAAGCCTCCAAGTGCAAGAAAAATTTCTAGTTGACTACATCTACTTACATGAGTTGGAGAACCTTTGGCCGTCTAGATGTTGCTGAGCTGCTGCTCCTTTCAGCCCTAGCAGACATGGCCAATTATCAGGGATGATGGGAGTTTGGGTACATTTAGAGGGCCAAATATTTCACACACCTGATCTGCTATTTTGTGTACTGCAATAGAAGATCCAGGCAGCATACCTGTAGTCTCCTCTTGTTGGTTATGCAAAATATCTTTTTTTGTTTTGAATTCAACATATGACTTACTTTTTTCCTGTAGGCAAAAGCACGTATACCAGTAAGGAAATTGGAGGCTGCTCAGCAGTTCCTGAAAACAATAAATCCTGAGGAATCTAATGGCTGCGTAAATAACGGACTGAAGAAGGAAGTTAATGATATATTAGTGAATACTTCAGACATTCCTTCACCTTTACCAAAAATGCCAGCCTACAATATTGAGGTAATTCAGGAAATTTACCATCTGAAGTGTTGTGTGTTTTAAATTCTACAGAAATTTCTCTTTCAGAATCACAGCAAAAAGCTGGCCTTTTAATTGTTATGGTATGGATGCCATCCAGTCAAAGGACCCGTTTATTGAGGGTGTGGTTAATTTTTGAGGCATTTTCAGTCCCAGGAATTGATTCTGGAAATCTTAGGATTCTCTTCTTGGGGGAGAATAAGGGGAGGATTTTTGACCTCTTGAATTAGTCCATTAGTTAGAATGTTATTTTTTGAAGGGGTATGGCTATATACTTATATTTCACTTGACGGTTCTAGCAGCCATTGTACACTATACTTCGCTGAGAGCGAGAGTTACTATAACCTTTTTTCTAGAGGAGGAGCCACCATCCCTGCTTTCCCAGAATGGCTGTACCTTCAGAGCTGAGAGTTTATGCTTGGGTCAGGGTCTGGTCCTCCCCACTCCCTAACCAGCACTTTGATTTTTCTCTCTCTTTTTTCAAGAGTCTTTCTATTTTTCATCTTGCTCAGTCCTGTCCGTTTTAACTAGATGCGGGGACTGAGATTTTGTTACAAGTCAAGGGAACCCCCAAACACTTTGGTTGATTCTTTGCCTTATATTGCACGCCACACCTGGGGTAGTGTTCTGTGTTTTTTTGGCTGCTAATTCTTTCCATAGTTTTCCTTAAAATTAAGGGGGTGGATGGGTGGGAATATTCCGTAGCTGCCAGTCGGTCTGGATGGCAGGGGGCAGCTCTTCCACCAGAAAAAAAATCTAGTGATTCCAGGAGGCACCATTCCCAATATTGCACAGCGCCATCCAGAAGCAACAGAGGTTAACCCAGAAAGAAAAATCCATTTCCCTTCTGTTTCCAAGTATTTCACTGGATTTGAGTATGCATATCTGTACTGGATTAGGGCCATTGTGGTCATATAGAGATTTCCTAATGCGGTCTTGAATTGCCTTAGTGATAACTTGGTCCGTTTTGAAGCTTACTCCACGGTAAAGGTAAAGGGGCCTCTGACCATTAGGTCCAGTTGTGGCCGACTCTGGGGTTGCGACGCTCATCTTGCTTTATTGGCCGAGGGAGCCGGCGTACAGTTTCCGGGTCATGTGGCCAGCATGACTAAGCCACTGCTGGCGAACCAGAGCAGCGCACGGAAACGCCGTTTACCTTCCCACCGGAGTGGTACCTATTTATCTACTTGCACTTTGACGTGCTTTCGAAGTGCTAGGTTGGCAGAAGCTGGGACCGAGCAACGGGAGCTCACCCCATCGCAGGGATTCGAACTGCCGACCTTCTGATCGGCAAGTCCTAGTCTCTGTGGTTTAACCCACAGTGCCACCCGTGTCCCTTACTCCACGTTACTCTATTCTAAATACCTGATTTCCTTAGATTCAGGAAGCTTTATATATTCCAAGTGTTTGGTATAAAACAGGTTTGTGACTGACTGACATACTGGGATGTATTGGAAATGGGTGAATTTTGGTTAACCCAGATTAATTCTCGAAATCAATTCAGGAAGCATCTACAGAACCTTTTGTGGAGGATAGGCCCGAGAGCCAGAGTGGTGGGTCTTTACTGCATGGTGTGTTTGACGAAGAAGAATCTGCAAAGTCTTTTCAGGAAGCTCTGAATCAGTGGAGAAGTAGAAATAACTCTCCGAAATCTAAGGAGGAACGTTCCTGTCAGGTTGGACCAGGTAAGGATTAATAATTGCTACATAATATTTGGAAAAGAAAGCTGATCTAGCTTACATTCTAAGTATTCCACATGACACAAGGATAGGTCAGTATTTGACTTGTGAATGATGACAGTGATTGTCCAAAAAGTGGGGAAATATTTAAATAAATTCCTGGGCATGAACTCATTTAAGGGACACCTCACTGCCCTGATTACTTGTGGGGCTTAGCCTACACATTTGGCTTGCAATTTTTGTGCATTGTGCAAGGGCTGCACTAATGCGTGTTGCATTTTATGCTATTAAATATTATCAATTCTGAATTATTTTCTTAGTATTGTTAATCCCATTGGTTCTACCAGAGCTGTAGAGCTACTGTTGGCAAATTAATGTGAATGATGTCCTAATATGTTTGAATGGTAGCTGATAGTTTTCTCTATATTGTTATAGAAAATACTGGTTCCTGTCAGGTGCAGACAAGCCCTCCAGTTGCGAAGAAAGCTATTGAAATTGAATTCAAGGAAGATGGCTTGAAGTATATGGAAAGATTATTGATTAAGAAGCATAGAAGGTATTCGCTGGATTGCTGCAATACACAAGGGACTTTAATCTAATTGCTTATTCTAAAATAGTGTAATCAAAGTATTCAGGCAGTAATATTGGAAAATACTCCTTCATAGGGAAAGGAGTTGCTGATTTAGAATGGTTATTGGGAATGACTTTATGGATGTCAAGGTAACTTAGGGTATAATGTTACCAATAATTCTGAAAGTGTTGAAAGTGAAAGTGTTGTGAAGGGTTGCAATTTTATAAATTGAACTTGAGTATCTCAGTAGATTTGCACATAGCGCTAAGCCAAACCATGGCTTTCTACAAGCAGAAGTGTGTGGTTCCCTTGAGAAGAAATCACATCCCCTTTGCACCTCCTCTGGTCCTGCTGCTGCCGCTGCAGCACTACCAGGGCTAAACCGTGGTTTGGCTTAGCATGTCATCGAAACCCGGGCATGTTATTTGTCACACACCAGACGAATCGGGAGCTGAAACCAAAGTTTGTTCTTGGGTTTCATCTTGTGATTTGTCCAAAGGAGTTAAACCATGAAGCCTGGGTTCTGATGACACGCTAAGAACCAAACCATTGTTTAACTCACAGTAGCAGGACCAGAGGAAGAGCAAAGCAGCTTTGGTCTCTCTGGGATCCTGCATGTTTGCGCTGCACCATGGCACTATGCCTTTGTGTTGTGACTGAGACTCAGCAAAAGACCCAGTCTGGAAGTAGATAACCATTGTGGGTAGTCAGGATCAGTTTTCTCACATTCTCTCTGCATGCTAAAAAGAGTAACAGTGTGATAATAGGCTTGCAGTTTTAAAGCATTTCCCTCCTCTTTGTTTTTATAGGACTCCAGTTGATAAGTTGCCAGATAGTATTATAACAGATGAACTGAAACTTGAAAAGCCACAGATTAATGAACCTGATGACACTTGGGTTGGAGGAGAGGAGGAGGAGGATGAAGACGACGATGATATAGCATTTGCTCGTTTTGAAGGTTTGCTGGGCTTCTCAATCCATTATAGTGCACCTTTATGCTCCCAGTGGCAAGCTACATCAAGAATATGAATGGACAATCAGGTTTATGGAATAATTGCAATTGGGACATACTGAATTCCCCAAAAGCGATTTGACAATTTACAAAGTTAAATTAAGATGCAGTTGCACCAACACTCAAATGGTGGTATGGAAATTTGGGAGTGTGAGGTGAAGCAATTGCACAGCCATTTCATTCCTTGCCCAGAGAGGATAATATTTGAAGTACATTAACCCACTCTCTCCATGTGAAAAGGGTTGTGTCACCCAGTCTTGAGCGATGCAGGAATCGAGAAGGTCGGGCTTGACAAATATTAGCTTGGTTTACAAGCCCAGCCTCTCCTTTTACCCAGTTGCTAGCAAAGAGAAAGGGAAAGGTAGAGCCTTGCCTTGCTTCTTTTTTTGGGGGGGGGGAGACTTGTTGCATAAGGGGGGGAAAAACCAGGATAAAAACTTGCTGGTTCTTTTGCAAAGTTCCTGCAAGTGAAAGAAGGCACTGCCTTGTCTTCCTGGCCTCACTTGCTAGACAGCTTGAAGGGCACACAGGCATGAGCTGTAACTCTCTTTCAGTCGGAATGCAGATTTACAGGATGGGAGATTTGTGCTGGCATTCCCCACCTTTTTAAAAAAATCTACATTCAATCAATAATTGTAGATAAGATGGTTTTATTTTAAATAGGCCAGGAAACATTCTGAGTACAAGGAAGCATGATGCTAGATAAAAGTCAGCTATTGCAAATGTATTTTTTTTTTCAATTTGTGAGATCTTAATACCCTTTCAGTGTTTCCAGTCTGCAAAGTCTGTACATACAGGGTGCTTTAATGCTTCCTTTTTTTGTTTGCCAACTCCACACGGCTGATAAAATCTGGTAGGAGACAAGTGAATATGGGTGTCCTTAGAACCAGTGAATTTTGGGGTGCTTAGGTGATTGTTCTTGAGAAAGACTCTTGACTTTTCCCTCAAAAACGTCATGTGTCAATGGTTACATATTACACTGTAATATCAGAAATGAAACTGGAAATACATTGTCCAGGCGAGTCCTTAAAATATTTCTTTTCTCCAGACAATCCCTTGTTACCAACCTTATCCAGATTAGTTAATCCATAATGGGGTTTGGGGTTTTTTTTTGTCTCTGGCTCCATCCATCGCTCTGCCCACCGCACTTACTTTTCTTGTGAAATTATACTGCTGTTGAGCCATCATCCTATCCTTTTGATTCTCCATGTTTCCAGCATTTCCCCCCCATTCACTGAGCTGTTATCACACATTGTTACTACAGATAGGGATGTTCCTGCTTAGCACAAAGCGTACTACCCTAATGCTTTCAATTATTCACACCTAGAACAAGAGGCAAGAGAATACCTTGCCATTAGCGCTTCCTCAACAGACTGGAATGGCTGGCACTGCAATTTTGCAGCTGCGTAAGAACAATTATTTAGTACAAATCTAAAATACAAACACTGGCAGAGTTTTAATTTTTAATTCCAGCTAAAGAAATGAAAAAGTACTGGGCAGATGTTTCCAAAGGAGAAGAGCCCGAGGCACTTCTTGCAAACGTTGAGCCCTCTCTGGAAATAAGGGTCCTTGAAGACGTAAGTGTTTTATTGCCTGGCTAGTTCAACTTCAGTTTCATTTGTTGCACTTAGTAGACTTCACAAAATATACAGTAGCATAAATGTGTACAAATGGGATCGCCCACCACATACAATTTCCTTTGTCTGCATTCCCGTGACAGTTAACTTGACAGGCTTGTTTTAACAAACCCACGGTTGACCGCAGTAGCACGAAGCGAGGTGAGAAGAACACAAATAATCTAAGCAGAGCTGAACACTGGTAACATTAACAGCAGTTAAAGCAGAAAATAAATATGGGATCCGTTGCATTACAGGCTTGTCAGGAGGAAGAAATATGGACATGAGTTTGAGAAGTGGTTGCAAAATGCATAATATACAGCATTAATGGCCCATCTTTCTAACAAATATTCAGGGCAGTTAGAGCTGGATTGCATTACAAGCCCAAATGTTTCTGTGTTGTTTATGTGTTAACTTTACGTATCCATTCTTTTAATGAATGCAGCCAAGGCAGCGGAACATTTTCATGGATTCCCTGGCATCATCTGATGGCATAAATTTAGCCAATATTTTTTGCTACATTTTGAGTCAGGGCTTACCTTGCACTTATTTTTGGTACCCTGGAATATGCTAAGTAATGTGCACCAAGAGTGTGCTCTTTTTAAGTTACAGAGAGTACCTTGGTTATGTCAGCGAAAAAGCAAACTCAGCCCTTGTGCCTGGGATTAAGAGGATGGGTATACAGGTCCAGGGGACCCCCTGAATTATAGCCTCTGTCATATTAGAAGGAAAGTACAGAATGAGCTCTATTTATACCCTACCTACTTATGCTGTGAAGGCACAGCTGACTATGCTGGACCAAACAGGTCATTGATTTTTATAACAATTCTTGTGGCTTCTGCTTTGATGAAATGGATTTGCCCAGTCAACAAGCGTAAAATGAATGCACTGTATTAAAACTATTTTCTACACAGGCTTATTATTTAGAGCAATTGTTGAGAGTCATTAGCTCCCAAACAGTGGCTTCTCTCCTTTTTGTTATCTATCCATATTGGGAGGCAAAGTGGGATGGGAATGAAACTTGTCTGGTGCAGCAGGAAGCCTTGTTAGTTTGTTTAACAAATTTTATATGCTGCTTGGTGGTAAGAAAAACTGTTTTAAGCGGTCTGCAAAAATATAAAATATTAAAATTATCTGTTGAAAACAGGCCCAATCCTCAGACAACCAAGGGTTTGTTGTGTCTACGGTACCATGTAATTGTTTAGATTTTAGGTTACAGTATTGCGAACATGACTGGGCTTAGGATGGAGTTGACTGAGATTCTCTTTTGAATGAATGAATGAATGAATAAGTTTTCTTTCTGATAAGGCTTGCAAAGAGGAGCCAGAAGAACCTGCCAATTTTGTGGTGTCAGAAGCTGGATCTGATGATTTGATTGATTACAGGTAACGATTACAGCCTAATTATGGAACATGGTTACACACATTTGTGCTGACACATTTTGATTTGCATCCTGCAGTTTTCCCTGGGACTTTTTTATTCAAACCAGAACCTGAACAGGCATATATTAGAGAAGAAAGTAGCCCATTTCATGCGATATTCCAAGGCAAGGGGGCTCCAAGCACTGAAAAGGGGTAGCAGCATCGCACTGCTGGCCCTGCTTCCAGGTCACCTGATTCCCCAAGCCCCACCCCTGATGTCCACACATTGAATGTAAACACCCGCAAAACAGAAGCCTGTAGGTGTAAACTTCTGGATCCATTGAAGATCTGTTGGCGTATAAGGCTAGGCATGCAGGCTTCCATTTTGCAGGTGCCTATCCATAGAGCGTAGGGCTGGCTGATCAGAAGGTCAGCGGTTCGAATCCCCGTGACGGGATGAGCTCCTGTTGCTCTGTCCCAGCTCCTGCCAACCTAGCAGTTCAAAAGCACATCAAGTGCAAGTAGATAAATAGGGAAGGTAAACGGCGTTTCCGTGCGCTGCTCTGGTTTGCCAGAAATGGCTTAGTCATGCTGCCCACATGACCTGGCAGCTGTCTGTGGACAAACGTCGGCTCCCTCGGCCTATAGAGCAAGATGAGCACCGCAACCCCAGAGTCGTCCGTGACTGGACCTAACGGTCAGGGGTACCTTTATATTTACCTATGCATTTTGCAGATGTCAGAGGTGTGGAAAGGGAAGCCACATTACACCAGAGGCAGGGCCAGGAGTGCAGTGCTGTTGCCTTTTCAGTGTATAGATGCCCCCTTACCTTAATAATGCATGAAGGATCTTCCCAACATAGACTTATTACAAGCATAAGAAGAGCCATGTGGGATGAGGCTCAAGGTCCAGCATATATTTCTCAAAGTGGCCAGCCAGATTCCTGTGGAACCCCAAAGGGAGAACATGCACATGACAGCACTCTTCCCACTTGTGATTCCCATTAGCTGGTGCATGGAAGCATACTGCCTTCAACAGTGGAGCTATCTGGCTTCTGATTTTAAGTTGTAAAAAACCCATTGCCTCATCCCCTTCATGTGAGTAATGTGTGCAGAGGCTTCTGCTATTTCATCTCTTCAGAGTCCGCTTCAACTGAAGGATCTCATCTGCTGCTCAGTCTCCTGAAAATCATATTTTAGAATCTTTAACTTGGCCTCATTTTTTCCCTTTGTTTCCTGAAACATGTAGCACATATTTTTGTACTTAAATTACAGCTTTTTTTTTAAAAAAAACAGTGCAATTAATGAAATTTTCTGTGTGGAATGTAAATGCAAAAGTCATTATCCCAGATAAAAATCATAATCACCACACCAAATCAGTATCAAATGGCTTCAGTGTAAAATTATCACATGGTCTGAATGCGGCAGCTGGACTGGTGACTGGGAGTGGTTGCCGAGACCGTATAACTTCAGCCCTGAAAGATCTACACTGGCTCCCAGTATGTTTCTGAGCACAATTCAAAGTGTTGGTGCTGACCTTTAAAGCCCTAAACAGCCACGGCCCAGTATACTTGAAGGAGTGTCTCCACCCGTTCAGCCCGGACTCTGAGGTCCAGCTCTGGAGGCCTTCTGGCGGTTCCCTCACTGCGAGAAGTGAGATTACAGGGAAACAGGCAGAGGGCCTTCTCAGTAGTGGTGCCTGCCCAGTGGAATGCCCTCCCATCAGAGGTCAAGGAAATAAACAACTATCAGACATTTAGAAGACATCTGAAGGCATCTGTATTGGTAAATTTTTAATGTCTGATGTTTTACAATGTTTCATATGGCTGGAAAAACCCAGTCAGATGGATGGGGAATAATAATAATAATAATAATAATAATAATAATAATAATAAATAATTAATAATGTGTTTTAAAAGCCTTTCTTTAAAAAGAAGTCATTTTCTCTCTCTCTCTCTCTCTCTCTCTCTCTCTCTCTCTCTCTCTCTCTCTCACACACACACACACACACACACACACATGTATTTAAAGTAAAGGTAAAGGTACCCCTGCCCATACAGACTCTTGACAGACTCTAGGGTTGTGCGCCCATCTCACTCAAGAGGCCGGGGGCCAGCGCTGTCCGGAGACACTTCTGGGTCACGTGGCCAGCGTGACATCGCTGCTCTGGCGAGCCAGAGCCGCACACGGAAACGCCGTTTACCTTCCCGCTAGTAAGCGGTCCCTATTTATCTACTTGCACCCGGGAGTGCTTTCGAACTGCTAGATTGGCAGGCGCTGGGACTGAACAATGGGAGCGCACCCCGCCACGGGGATTCGAACCGCTGACCTTTCGATCGGCAAGCCCTAGGCGCTGAGGCTTTTACCCACAGCGCCACCCGCGTCCCATATATATGTATTTATATATGTTTATCTCCCATAGACCTGTAGGAAGTTTCTTTAATGTCATTTCTGGTCATTTTCTGTTCCAATTTTTGTCTTGTACCTTAAGTGGTCCCATGTCGGAAAATCAGAAAACTGAACCTGACGTTTTTCTGGCGCAAGCTGGCAATATTACCACCAGGTCATCGCTTTCACCTGCAGCTCAGAAAGAACAGTGTGCAAATGTGCTTCATAATAAACAGAAAGAAACACCTCGAGGTGAGCTTATGGTAGTCACTTCTACTAGTAAACGAGGATTTGTGTTGACATAGTTTTCTCCCCCAGAGTAGGTGGTTTGTGTTTGCACAGATGTCTTAACCCGTGGATAAGTGACAACTTCTGTGCTTATTCCCAAGGGCGCACACCTTCCTAAAAACCAATAGTGGGTACCTTTTAACCTCTATACATAACTAACTGTTTCTGTTGACTATGCAGTCAGGCAGGAGGCCTGAATCTCCCAGCATTCAGAAATGCTGGATGAACCTTTGACCCTTAAGCATGATTCCTGGAGTATGTACCACCGAGTAAAGATTTGTTTAAGGGAAACAGCTTAAGGTGAAATGTGGAGGAGGAAATAATAAAAGATAGCTATCTGCCTGCTTTCAAACTTACATAGGCGGTTCTTTTGTGGACTGAACCTACTTTGTTCCTAGCTTCTGTCTGGATGTGCAGCCCCTGAGTGCAGGTCCCTGGTTTTACATGCGAGTTGATGTAACTTGTGTGTTAATGGCCTATTTTAAGGCAGTCATTTGAGAAACTACATGCAGGGATTTGAACTGACATGGTTTCTCTCTCTCTCTCTCTCTTGCTTCAATTCTTTAGCAAGAGCACCTTTTGCAGCGTCAGGAAGAGCAGATGGTGCTTGGGGCTGTTCCGGCGCAGAGGAAACGGTTCTTAGCCCCCTTTTTAAAGGAGCTGCAGCAAAAGAGAAACATTCGAAGACAAGGAAAATTAGCACTCGCAAGAAATCGGAGCAGGCTTCTAGACCGCCCAAATCGGCTCCGAGGGAACCTTGCGCAGCGATGTCCGCAGAGTCACACGAAGCGTCGCCACTCACTGCCAAGTCTTCAGTGGTAAAGAATAAATAAATAAAAGGAATTAAACTCCACTTTTGTTTTTTGGGGAGAGGGGGCGGGTGCCATTTCCTCGTTATTTGTTGAACTATTAGTAGAATAACAGCGGGAATAAATGTCTGTCTTGTATGGCGCAATGCACTTTTTTTTCATTTCATCTTGTGAATGGGGCCATTTTTGGGCCAGTTGAACCACTGCATTGTTTTATCTGTCCGGAGGGATGAGAAGAGCAGGTGTGGAGAAAAGGGACAGTACAGGATGCAGAAGGAAAGAAGGTTTCTTATTCTTAAGTCTCTACAGAAGGAAGGGCTCTGGCTCAGTGAGGGAGCATCTGCTTTGCATGCAGAAGATTCTGGGTTCAATCCCTGGTATCTCTGGGTAGGGCTGGGAGAGAAATCCTGAAGGGTTTCTGCCGGTCTTAGTATAAACCATGAAGCTCTTTGGGTGACCCTGGACTAGTTCCTCCTCTCAGACTAGCCTACCTCATAGGGTTGTTGTGGGGATTAAATAAGAGGGAGAACCAAGTATGCCACCTTGAGCTCCTTGAAGAAGAAAAAAGGTGAGGTATAAATGCAGCAAATAAACAACAAGCTTCTACCCAAGCAAGAATAGGGAGGTAAAAGCATAGGTTGGCTCTACCTCCTGGTTGACTGCTAGCATTTCCTCTCCCTCACCCTGTTTCATTTAGGACTCTTTGGTGGCAATATTTCCCATTCATAGAATAATTCAATGAAAGGATCCAACAAATGGAAAAGATTCATTTCAATGGATTATCCACATACTTTCCCCCATGGGTGGCTCCCTGAACAGAATCCAAGAGGAAATCCCCAGCAAGGGGGGGGGGAGGAAAATACTACCCACCCTCCAAAAGTATCTCAAGGGAGCCCCCCACCCCCATTTTTCTCTCATTCTAGGAACGAGGAGGCCCCACGTAACTCCTGCCTGGTGGGACATTGGGAAGATGATTTTCTCCTCCTCCTCTTCCTTACTATTTTAATCTCCCATACATCCACACAATTGACTTTGGGGAAGGGTCTTGAGAGTGCCTGAAATTGGAGGATTTCTTTTTTAGTTTAGAAGCAATTGTGATTAATTGGTACATAATCTGTAGAACTAAAGAATACACAAGCAAGAGAGCATTGCTTGCGGAGGTTGTGTTCCTGCCTCCCCCATGCATGTCGATGGAGCACGTATCAGTGTGCTCCATCCCCCCCTGCTCCTGTTTTGCCCCCATTCTGCTTTATTCTGAGTCCCAAGGGACCTGCACATCGACAATCGTCCTTCAATTGGATGCATCTAAAACGGTTGCTGCCTGTGTAATTTTTTTGTGCCTCCATATTTTGCTTTCCGGCAAAACTCTATGAACAGAATCAAACAGGAAATTAGGATTCTGCTAAAGGGGTCATCTTTAAAAAGTTATATAAGTGTAAACTATTTCTTTAATCCATTCTGAGTTACAAGCCAATGGTCAGCAACTCAACAGGGCCACAGTGCAGAGAAAGCACAGAGAAAGTTTCATTGTCATCATGCTAGGAGGGGATGATAGAATAGTTCTTTATTACATGCTACTGCCTTCCTTTGGGGATGCGGGTGGCGCTGTGGTATAAAACCACTGAGCCTCTTGGGCTTGCAGATCAGAAGGTCGGCAGTTTGAATCCCCATGACAGGGTGAGCTCCCGTTGCTCGGTCCCAGCTCCTGCCAACCTAGCAGTTCGAAAGTGCGCCAAAAAAGAGAGCAAGTAGATAAATAGGTACCGCTCCGGTGGGAAGGTAAACAGACTTTCCGTGTGCTGCTCTGGTTTTGGTGTTCCATTGTGCCAGAAGCGGCTTAGTCATGCTGGCCACATGACCCGGAAAAATTGTCTGTGGACAAACGCCGGCTCCCTAGGGCCTGTAAAGCGAGATGAGCACCGCAACATCAGAGTTGTCTGCGGCTGGACTTAACTGTTGGGTCCTTTACCTTTACCTTTTACCTTCCTTTATTTTTGTTTGTTTTGGCTTTCTTAGACTTTGATGCCTTCCTAGAGGGGTTTCAAACAGCATCTAGGAACAATATTGGCCAAGTTGTTTATAAAAATCCGCCCACCACCCCTTCTGCAAAAAGCAGAAGCCGCATCAGTAGGTCAGACTTTCCACTGCCTAAGTCACTGAAAGTGATTTATTATTTAAGGAGTAAGCAAGGACAAGGACTAGATTTGTTCATTAAAAATTAGAGGGGGGATTCCAGTGTGGTAGATTTAGAGGATATGTTTCTAAAATGAGCTGTGGTTTTTGGGGGTGGTTCTCTCTCTCTCTCTCTCGAGTTGTTAAAGTGTGTTTTTGGTCATATAAGTTGAAGATTGATTAAAGGACAATTATTTATTTGATAAGATGTTTGCTTTCCCTAAATACGGCATATAGTTTTTTTAATGGAATTGCATTTTGTGTATGCACTATTGATTTGGATCTTGATTTTTGCTGTTATGTTGACAACCACAATTTTTATTTTTATTTTAAAAATATATACAAAAAGTGAAGAGAAATAAGAAGCTGTGGCTCGGAATTTGCTCTCATTCATTAGCTCTGGAGGGGCTAGGAATACTATTAGGGACTCAAATTGGAGGAAAACAGATCAGTAGCTTGCTGGACTCTAACCTTGGCAGGAATTTCAGAATATTCTTAAAGCAGACATTTGGGAAACTTTAACCCTGCATTCCCATCAACCCCAGCCAGCATGAACAATGGTATGGGATGCTATGAGTTGTAGTTGCAACAAAATCTGGAGTCCCACAGACTCTAAAGTCTCGGTGACACAATATATAATAGTGGATTCTTTGTGCTTGCCTTGTAAGATGTACATTTAATGTATTTAATGCAACCACAGCAATGCAGTTTTTGTGACCTTTTAAAAGTCTGAGTTTCATTTTTATGCATAATTTCAAACCTGTGTAACTAAGCGAATTTCAACATTGCCAAAATTCCTAGCTTTTTGAAGAAAGACAAGATAATACATGTGGATAACTTTAGCTTTTTAATATCCGTATGATATTTAAAGAATAGTTTTAAGGGTAAAGCTGTACACCATATAGGACCTCTACAGACATAGAGATTTGCCATGGTGTATTAAACCATTGTTCAGGATAGGCTGCAAACCAGGCTGATTGAATCACATTTTCCAACCAGGATTAAAGCAGCCATTGTAAGTATACTTTGTTGGGAGCAAGTCCCACTGAACTCAGGGGCCTTCCAAGCAGATACGCATAGGATTACATTGTCACTGTTCCATCTGTGTCAAGTAAACCATGGTTAAGGCAGCTTTTCAGCCTCTCTCAGTTGCTCTTACTTGCAAATTGACAGTCAGACCATGTTGGTGTTTTCCTGTACAGCCCCACTTAGACACAAGTTAATTTAGGTGAGAAAGTTACAGATAGGTAGCCGATAGGTGTATCTGAAGAAGTGTGCATGCACACGAAAGCTCATACCAAGAACTAACTTAGTTGGTCTTTAAGGTGCTACTGGAAGGATTTTTTTTTGTTTTAGGTGAGAAAGGTACATCTGGGTTAGTACCAACACACCGCACCATGGTTAGTACTAACCTGGTTTAACCATTCTTTCTTCACCAGGACATAGAAGATTTCAAATTTTAAAAATGCAGTGTTGCTGGGAAAGCTTATGTCAAGGGGCTTCAAAACAGCGTTGTCTTCCCAATCTTCTTTCTCTCCCCAGTTGTTACAGGAAATAGCCCAGAAGGAGAAACCTAGCTGTGCCCCATATCGAGGGCTTGAGGAATTCTTTACAAGCTGTGAGCAAGTTATGATGGAATCGTTTCCTTCGCCACGTGCAGGCAGACAATCGCCAAGCCGTGGCATTTCATTTTCAGGTAGTAATGCAGAATCAAACACCTGTTTCCATGCGTGTTGCTTACTGAGCACATTGGCTTTAGGGCATGGTAGCCTCAGTTGCATATTTAAGTACGCAAAGCATCCTTATCTGGAGATGCCAGGTCTAGGACATCATGTATAAGTGCATTTGGCATAAGCTGGTGTAACTGCCATACTGAGAAGGCGCAAGGAAAAGATTGTAGCAGCAAAACCAACGAGACAAAAGCATGTCATTCTTTCATGCTTTAAGTTGTAAAGCCGTGTTTATCATACTTGTAGTGGGAAATGCAATTATGTAAGTCACCTGGAAATGTCTTGATTTTCCTCTCTGAAGCAAAGCTTTGATGAGGCCTGTTTTCCCTTAATAACTGTGCATTAAGCTCTTTGGGAAATTATTAAGGAGCCATTAGCAGTCATAAATCAGTTGCTTGAGTACACAAGCTAATTGTTAAATGAAAATTAGCAAGCGACTTACTTTCACTCTTCTTAGAATGTGTTTGTATTTTGCTCTCGTACTCTTCTGAAGTGAAAGTTAGGATCCAGCCTTCCCAGATCACTCTGGCTTGCAGCCTTGGAGGGATCCTGCACTGAAGGGTTCAGCTATGGCCAGGGACAATTCCCACCAACCGTGCCTGCCACTATGCGCTTTATATTTAAAGACTGTTCATAGGTTTCAGCTGGAGACACTGTTTGATGGCAGGACAATGTTATACCCAGTACCCAAGAGTTTGGGAGAGCCAGTATGGTGTAGTGGTTAAGAGCGGTAGTCTCGTAATCTGGTGAACCGGGTTCGCATCTCCGCTCCTTCACATGCAGCTGCTGGGTGACCTTGGGCCAGTCACACTTCTGTGAAGTCTCTCAGCCCCACTCACCTCACAGAGTGTTTGTTGTGGGGGAGGAAGGGAAAGGAGAATGTTAGCCGCTTTGAGATTCCTTAAAGGGAGTGAAAGGTGGGATATCAAATCCAAACTACTACTACTACTACTATTCTTCTTCTTCTTCTTCTTCTTCTTCTTCTTCTTCTTCTTCTTCTTCTTCTTCTTCCATTCTAATCCTCCGGGCACAATTCAAAACGCTCATCTTGTTCTGTGAAACTGCTAATGACCATGCCCCATTATACCTTAACATGTTTTTGTTTAGACAAACCTGTCTAGATGTGGAGAAATTATATGTGTTTTATTTCTTTTTAGCTACTTTTTATTTTAATCATCTTTCAAACATTTTTAAATACCTAATTTTAACAGTTTTGTATCGATAATTTCAATGTTTCATTTTATAATTTTGAAAACTGCTTAGAGATTTTTATTTTTTACAACCAGGTAACATATAAATTTTATTAAGCAAATAAAATAAATAAAATATCTGAAAGACCTTCATCCAATCAAATGTTTTTAATTTGATCTGATCACCTGCCTTTTAACAGACTAATCTTAATTAACAAATAATTAAATGTGCATATTAGCAAAATCTCAGTAATAGGTGCTTGTTGACATGTTTAAGAAGCAGAGATAATTTAATAAACTATAAGTCCATATGCAACAGTAAAGGCCCTCTCTTCATTCTTTATTACATAAAACAGGAGAGCCTCTAAAAATTAACAGTTTGTGGAATGAAAGTCACCCTTGTTCATTGATGCTGGTGCCATCAATTAATCAGCTAACAATCTAGTGGACTGATGGTGGCGATTAAACCAATCAAAGCTTGCATTTTTTTCTCTCTTCCCCACCCCTCATTCCATCTGTTGTCTTTGTGCTGTCTAAGTCCCATTTACTGGAATTAGACCTCAACTTGGCACACAGAATTGTAGAAGGTGAAGCCTTAGCTGTGCATGGAAGCAAATAGTTGGGGAAACGTCATCTGTTTCATTTCTGTGTGCCAGTTTATTGTTAAAGGCACGGGACCAGGGAAGGAAGAGGCAGAACTCCTGTAAAGTATGACCTGCAAGTCCTGGGAATGGAGTGAGGACCCAGTGCATGTAAATAATCTGTGTGGATGCCAGGGGCGTACGAAGTGGGGGGCGGAGGGGGCAGTCCGCCCCGGGTGCCACTCTGTGTGTGTGTGTGTGACAAGATGGCCCCTGCCTCCCCCCAGCTGTAGAGCGACCAAGGGCGCACAATCACGCAGTGTCCGTACGGGTTGCAGCTCTCTCGCACCATCCGTACAGGCGTCTGTACGGGTTGCCTCTTACATAGTGACCACATGGGATGCTGCGCATATGCCACCGGGTGGTTCGTCCCGCCCTGGGTGCCTGAGAGGGTTCCTCCGCCACTGGTGGATGCATTTAAAGGCAGGTGTAATCTGTCCAACCAAATAATGCTTTAAGAAGAAAATTCTGATTATGGGAATTAAACATCTACCTTTTTCAACTCCAGGGTCTCAGCAGTGGATGAGGCAGTTCAGCTTAAGTGAATGTGCTGATGAGTCTGTAGTGCAAGGTGTCTTGGAAAGAGAGCTTGGCAGACCATCAAGTAGACTGGGAAGGCAAAGCCCAGGTTCAAGAGCTTATCGGTCGAAGTTGTCCATTGGTAAGAGCCCTACATAAAACGCATGCTTGCATTGTGAAACCAGGACAAAGTACATCCACTGTTGCTATTCCTGATTTTCCCGGGTTCCAAAATGTGCAGAGCACCTCCATGAGGACTAGAGGCTCCTTACTTCAGAAATTCACCTTCCAGCTCACAGAACAAGAACTGAAGGGAGTAGCAGGAGAGCTGTGTGTGTTTGTGTGTGTAATTATAATGACGAATTTTTTTTTTTTAAATATTTTTATTGGGTTTTCACATTTTATATAGATAAAGACACAACACATAACATCAAAACAAACATAAAAAACAACAAACATGTATAATTCCCGAAAATCTTATTTTCTAACCCTACTCCTTGACTTCCCCCCACCCCCCTCCCTTGCATCCCTATTCCCAAGTTTATGTCAGCAAATTGGCATTTCCTTCTCCGTCTTGATATTAATCCTTTTATAAAAACAAAAATAAATTTTCCCTAAGTTGGACCCCAATTCTCTTCCCACGATTTCTCATTTTTTCTTAAATAATTTTCTTATTAACTAAACCCCTCTTGAGTGTTGTTTAAATTTAAATGCTTCCCTCCCTCCCATTCCCGCTTTGCGTCCTTTCCCAAGACATGTCCAAAATAACATTTTTTAGCCTGGATTCCGCACATCCAAAGCTCTCAACTCTCTTTCAGTCCCTCTCCGCCTTTTTGTTGGTCATCGAGTCTCGAAAGATTTCCTTAACAATCAATCCAATCAATCCATAGTCTCTTCCCATATTTAGAAACAACTGCTGAGGCATTTCCGCAAGGCCTAAGTCTTGGTAATAGTCAAAATCAAAGTCTATGTGGATGCCCCAATTGTACTTCTTTATTTCAAGCTCCTGAATTCCATAAACTTCCAGGGCTTCCTCTTTCGTCTTCTGTATCTTTCGTAGGCTTAAAATGGAGTTAATCCAATAGTCTCCTTGCTTGTGTTCTCCAAATGCCGACTTCTGGTTAGTATTTTCCGACATAACTTGTTCTCTTTCATGTTTTGTCTTCTCCTCTTCTTTGTTTATTATTTCGAATTCAGCTGTGGGTTCTTTCTCACTCAGGTCTTCATTACATTCAGCAGAACTACTTGTTTCCGAATTCAAGGTCATCAATTGTTTACTCATAACTATAGTCTGCTCCTGTAAGGTTCCCACCAGTGAAAACATCCTTTCGATTTCTCTCAGTATCTTTCCACCCACAGCCATTGTAGTTCCACAGAATTCCCCCTAGAGGGAATCTGATTACTTAATGAACTTTTCTCCAACAATCCTCTGTCCTGTTATTGTTTCTTTGTTTCCCACAATTTTAATTCAATTGTAACTCCTTTTAATCCGGAGAGGTCTTAAATAGCAATTTTTCCACTGTTAACAGTCCATTTGACAGCTTTGACAGCTGTCAAATTCTGCTCCTCTATACAGGCTCCAAAGCAGGTCACTCCCGGGCCCGGGAGGGAGGGTTGTTTACCACAAAACAAAGACTCTTCCAACACTCCACTCTCCTGCTCAAATTTGCTTTTCCAAATCTTGGAAGTTACTGTCTTTTTAAAACTCACCCTTTGCAGGGTAGGCACTCCAGCTTAGCTCTTATATCGTTGCTCTGGATCGTCTGCAAGGGGGGGGGTGGGGACTTCCTTTTGGCACACCCCCCGGTCGTCTCAAATTCAGAAGGTAAAAAGTTTTAAAGTTCAGTTCCAAATTACTCACGGGTTCTTTTTTTCCAGTCCAAATTTTAAGGAAGGAAGTCAGCGCTCTCCAGTTATGGCTCGCGGCTTCGCTCAGCGGCGGTAGCGATCGACTCTCAGTGCCGCGCCGTCCCCCGTATCCCCTCCATAGCCTTTAAAAAGGCTCTTCGCGAATCAGGGGGGGGCGCTTAAGGCACCCGCTGAGTCTTCAGTCCGCAGGCATCTGCACCTGCGGTTTTTAAGGGTCCCCGTGTCGCCGGCACGGCAAAGACCCATCCACCGCTGAGCCGATTCCCTCCGGAGCTCGGAGGGAATCCGCCATTCCCGGATCGCGCCAACCCGGAAGTCCTCTATAATGACGAATTTTTTTTGGGGGGTGGAGGCTTAAGTGCTTGTATAACTCCTGAATAAAGTATCTAGATTTTCTTCAACAAAGAAAGGGGATTTTGATAGATTTTTTTATTAAAAAAATAAAATATGGGTTGCAAGAGTTCAAGTATTGATAATGTCATATTTACTAATAGTAAACTCCTATGTGGAGTTTGGTATTATTTGAATTTGGTATTATTGGGTTGAAAACAGTACCACCTACACATAAGAGGATGGGGGGGGGCACAAAGTTTGCAGATATGCAAAAAACAATAATACTTTGGTTGAAAACTCCTATTTTAACATATCACAGAACAACATACTTTTAATTTTCCTCCTGCCCCTGTTACTTCATGACTGTATGTGCAAGTATGATGAGTTTTCATGCTTTCATTTTTTGGGGTTTCATGTTAAAAAAAATTATATATAATTGGGCCATCAACATTACTTCAGTCTGATTCCTGTCCAGATTGAGGTGGTTTCTAGGTTTGGGGATGCAGTGCTGCTTAGTGTGTTTGTAAACACCCTTTGGACCCATGCTTAATGTTTTCTAGAATAGGGAAGGACTTGTTATGCATATCTTTAGAAAAGGAATTTTTTGTAGTAGGTCTTTAACAGCAAATCATTCTCACATTTTCAGAAAATGCTTCTGCAAGGCCCCTTTCTGCAAATATTCCTTTTTGCAGAACCATCACACCCACACTTCGCCCTTCTTCAGTTCTTCAGACAGGATCCGAAAGCTCAGCTACCTGGCCTTTATCCCGAGCAGCTTCTGAAATTTCAGAAATTGAAGGCATTGATGTCACCGAACATGATGATCCTTTCTTGGAATACAGTACTGATCAACAAGCCTTAGCAGATTTAGAAGACGAATGGCAAAGTAATGCGGGTAATTATGCAATATCATTAAACTCCCATTCTGAAAGATGTATTTTTGGTAGCTTGATTATCTGTATAGTCTGCGTTTATGCTCAGCTGGATGTTTTTCATTTTCCCATATTCTCTGGATTATAAAGAAGGAAGTCCACAATATTGGGACATAAGCAACAACACTTCTCTGATTCCCTGATCCCTAGGCAAACATTGGGTGAAGTTGGGCAGGCACAAACTAAACATACCCAACTCCCTCAACTGTTCCTCATAAGGTTTGGTTTTCAGACCCTTGATCATCTTGGATGAAGGCAGAAGAGAGCAGTACCATTACTACCCCTGATGTGGACACTGTACGTCTGTTGATGCAGCCTAGAGTAGCATTAGCATTTTTGCTGTATCACACTGTTGACTCATGTTAAGCTTGTGGTCTACTAAGACCCCAAGATCCCGGTGTGTCCCATCTTATATTTGTGCAGCTGATTCTTCCTGAATAAGTGTCGAACCTTACATTTGTCCTATTGAAATTAATTTTGTTAGTTTTGGCTCAGTTTTTGCTCTCTATGCTCCAGCCAGCCAAGCAACCAACACAATCAGAGTTCAAGGACGCCTTCTAGCCTGGCAGGAGCGCTCGAGGAGAGTGCAGAATAGGGCTGGTGAGGGGTGTGGCTAAGGAGGTTGTGTGGCCTGTGGAGAGTCCCAAGGGCCAGATAGAAAGATCCAGGGGCCACATTTGATACCCAGGCCTGAGGTTCCCCTTCTCTGGCATAGCATATTGGAGTTATAGAACAATTGGAGCAGTCTGCATAGGGCTGCTTGTGGAGGGTTTAGAGGACCCTGAGGCAGGGGCAAAAAGGGGGGCTTGTAGAAATGAATTGGAATAATAAAGAGTAGAGAGGGTTTAGCGATAGGCATGGGGTATTAGTGAGCGGAAATAGCAAGCGGAAGCTTGGACGGGGACCAGTTCATACATTGCACATTCATCACTCAGTTTTAGCAGAAAGTGCAGATTACTACCAATGAAAAATACTGTGTGCTCTAGAATCAAGTCTAGAATATACATTAACTTACGACAGGGATTCTGGTCTCTGTAGCGAAATTCAATTCCCACAGATGGGATTGTTTTGAACAACTCATTGGCCCACAACTTGTTGAATGTCTAAATGGAATCAAAACATGATCATCCTGCCTCAGATTTTGGGTGACTCTCAGATGTACTCAGTGTTAGGAGCTCGTCCTACACTCGAGTAGGACCCTGGCAGAGACACATGCCCACCTGGCATGTTCTCTCCCTCCTGGTCAATTGTTCGGGAGCTTCAAAAGCTTTCTTCAGCCCGAACATCACAGGGACCGATGCCAACAGACATCGGCACACTTAGGGATCCGCAGAGTCTTCGCACAGTTGCGTTACAGACCTCAGCAACTCAGCATTTTGGCTAATCTACTTTATTTACATATAAACACACACGGAGCACTGCAACATGGCTCCCTCTCTCTCTAGCATCAGGCAGCAAAGAGAAAAAAACAAAGGACAATAGTCCCACTTCACGGAACACAGTAACACAAACATCCTGTCTCGGTCACTTCCCACTCTGTGGAGTCAAAACATACACCGTCATGTGAAAGACAAAAATCCCATGACTGCAATCATGGAGCAGGAATTCTAACACTCAGTCCCCCATGCAATTTCCACAAGATGCACAGCAGCTGTGCCTACCCCTGTTAATCTGTGCTGCAGAGTGCAGACAGGGAGAATTGCAGGATCAGTTGGAGCGATGCCTTTGCTAGCATTTCCAGTTTAGCACTAAAGCACTGAATGGGCAGTGTGGGATGCTCTCATAAGGGTATAATAACAGAGGCAGGTGCTATGTATTATGAACTATAGTACTATGGACTTGCCCTGCATTGGAGAGTTTCTAGCAATATTTTGAACTGGAGTATATACCCCTCCCCCAGTTTTAATACACAATATGTCACCTTTTGATGGCTCTGACTGTTCTTTCTCATGCCATGTGAGAATTTCAGGCACCTTAGCATTTCTGTTGCTTGTTACTGAAAGAAAATACTTACAAAATTTCAGATCCTTGGGAAGAATTCAGTGACTTAAGCTCTGGAGACTTCAGTAGACATTCAAAGGGGGCATGTCAGAATTTTCCCGAATTCCTTAATAGCCATGAAATAAAAGACTACAGTAAAGGTGATGCTATAAGGTGAGTTAATCTTGCCATTAACTTTTACAAGAGGATAAGAGAAATGTAAAAGCCAAATCCAGCATTTCACATTCTGTGTAACAGCGAACTTTCCTTTATACGACGCATGTGACAAAATCAAATCAGAATTCTGCTTACAAACACTAGAGGTCTGCAAGGTTTGCCAGAAGAGTCCTGCACCCTCTCATCTAGGTTAATTTATTTTTTCCTAATTATCTGCTAATATGGCTTGTTTCTCAATTATCAGCTCATCTCCTCTTCACTGAGAAGTGATTAATTATGCAAGATTTGAAAGCATTAACTTTCCCCAGCTTTTGTCCTTTTTTAAAAAAATAGAGCCTTCTAAAGAGAACGCTGTTCAGGACACTTTCTCATCCTGCTTTTTCAAAGCCTGCTATCTCCCACCATGGGGCTTTTTCTTGCCCCAGACATGTAAGAACAGTAAGATCGCCTCCAAGCTTCACATGTAACATGCAACATGGTTCTTTTTGGGGGGGGGCATGCAGGCAGCAGAGATTACATTCTTTAGAAAAACAGGAAAAAATTTTTTTGACTGTGTGGTATGTTGAGCTTGGTGTATCAAGTGTACCCAACAGAGATGTGCACCAACAATAGGCAGAGCCAGCTAATTTTGATTTTGTTCCCAACATCCTGCATGTTCAGTTCCACAGTCACTATAAACATGGAGGCTGTGGAGGAGGCTGACAACCATTGCCACTCCCTGGATTGGTTGTAAGTCAGCAGGTAGGCAAAAGGGCCTGAATATAGCTCAGTTGATAGAGCACAAGGCTCTTAATCTCTAGATTGTGGGTTCTAGCCCCACGTTGTGCAAAAAATCCCTGCATTGCAGGGTGTTGTATTAGATCACCATTGTGCTCCCTTCCAATTCTACAGTTCTGTGATTCTATGAGGGCAGGTTCTCACCTTTTTTGCACTATACCCTAACATTTGCAAGTGGCTTTTGCTTTTAGTTTTGCGTTTTACTTCCTGTTTTATATTTGGCAAATAACCAAACAATTTAACCCCTGTGTTGCAAACAATGGTCAGTAATATCCAAGGCAACACGATGACCAAATACAGTGATACAATATCAGTATACACTCTTTATATAATATGAAATATATGAAATCACCTAAACAGAAAACTTATGAATCTCTGAAAGTCACAAAATATGCACTCTTAATAGATTCTATTGAAAATATAAAACCAAATAAACATAAGTCTTATAAGTCTCTGAAAGTCTTTGAAGACTATGCAAGTCTCTGAAAGAAGCAATGAATCAGATTCTTATCTGGTGAAAACAAGCTTTGTTTATGGTGTCCAACGCTGCCGAAGTAGTTCGCAAACAGACGTTGTGAACAGTGACTCCGGATATGTTTGGCAAAGGCTTTAAAAGAATGGACGGAACAGGACAAATAATTTCCAAAACAGTAGGTGGTCTGATCTTCTATGCCAATCCAAGAGCGATAATAGGTTGAATCTAACCAAGTCATAATCACAGTAGACCTTTGGAAGTCAATGGGCATGACTACCAAGCCCAGCATTTCAGTGGTTATCACTTGAATGGATGCAAGCCACTGGGTTACATATCTGTTTTGCTTCATTGTAATCAATCTTATCTCTGTATCAGGAACTTGCTTGCATTTGGATTTCTGGAAACGAAACAGCTGAACCTTTTAATTATGTTTTATTTTTAGAGTTTATGACGAAAGCCATACAGACGATGAGGAAGACAAGAGGGACAAGCAGCAGGTGATAGATCTGCAGTGAAAAACACACACAGAAACACACACACACAGAGGAATCGAACTTGATGTACCCTTCTGCTTCAATCCATATAAAATCATCAGGCTGAGGCACTTATCTCCCCAGCACGGCAGGTTAACTGAGCTGATGTGAAGACAAATCTCAAATAAATAAAATGCATGTTGATGCAGAAAAACAAACAGAGAGAAACGCGTTTGGGCTCTTCCTACTTCGCTACTTCCATTGTTTTCTCCTTTTATATTTGTTCAATGCATCTGTACCTTGCTCTTCAACCAGAAAAGCTCCCAACGTGGCCAGCAAATCCGAATAATAAAAACACAAAATTATGTGTTTTCCTTGGAAAAGATGAATTAGGTTCACCCGGGCCAAGCAAGAGGAGGAATGGTGTATTGTTCCATTGTAACAATTTTTAGTTGCTGTTCGCTGGAGAAGGTTTGTGGCTATAAGGTTTTCTGGTTTATGGAGATAGCAGCCTTGGTGGGAAAGCTGCAAATTCCAGCTGTATTGTATGATCAGGCGGCTGGCGTGGCTTTGACCGTTATGGAGCAAGTGGGGACCTGCTGCAAAATGTTGCAGTATTCCTCTCTCTTCTAACAAGAGTGCTGCTGTTCAGGCTCTCAACTCTCTGGATCTTGTACTCTTGGAAGGAAAAACCCATGAGATCTTCCTTATTCCTAGACAAAACTTAATGGTGAGCCCGGCCTTGGCTGGGGAGGGCAGGGTATAAATAAACATTATTATTATTATTATTATTATTATTATTATTATTATTATTATTATTATTATTATAACAGTATGAAAATTGAAAACCGTCCTAGAACATCAACACAGAACAGTACCTTCAGATTGATTTGGTATCAGTTTTTTTAATACCACAAAGGCAAGATTGGCTTATACAGGCTTAGCTGGCATGGCTTCACCCACAAATGTCCTTTTTTGCTGCTATCCTTCCTGAGCAGAGGCGGGGCTGGAATGGGTCTTCAGCAAAAGAGGCTCGTGGCAACTTTAAAGGGCAACAAATTTATTGCAACATTTTTGGTGAACTATGGTCAGATGCATGAAGTGGTCTGTAGTCCACAAAAGCGTGTGCCACAATAAATTTGTGGTGTCCAGTATACCACATGTGGTGCCTAAACGGCCTCGGTCCAGTATACCTGAAGGAGCGTCTCCACCCCCATCGTTCTGCCCGGACGCTGAGGTCCAGCGCCGAGGGCCTTCTGGCGGTTCCCTCATTGCGAGAAGCAAAGCTACAGGGAACCAGGCAGAGGGCCTTCTCGGTAGTGGCGCCCGCCCTGTGGAACGCCCTTCCAGCAGATGTCAAAGCGATAAACAACTACCTGACATTCAGAAGACATCTTAAGGCAGCCCTGTTCAGGGAAGTTTTTAACCTGTGATATTTTACTGTATTTGTGGTTTTTATGGAAGCCGCCCAGAGTGGCTGGGGAGGCCCAGCCAGATGGGCGGGGTATAAATAATAAATTATTATTATTATTATTATTATTATTATTATTATTATTATTATTATTATTTGTGGTTTATACTTCATGGAGGGTCCCCAACAGGCTTATAGGAGTGGTGTGGGCCTTTAGTGAGCAGGCATTATCACCATAAGTCCTGGTCCCCCAGAATTGGCTACACTTTTATGGCATCTTGCCTTGGAAACGTGCTCCACTGGTGATGTGTTGATTCATTGGCTGTGTCTCATACCCTTGAAAAATGTAGAAAGTGCACTGAACAGTACTGTGAGAGAACTCTAGAATCAAGAATCACTTTAATCTTTGTAAATACTAATACAAACTAATTCTCACTTTCCTTGGTAGTTTCTGTGTGATCTTAGCTCGCTACTAAGTTAATTCTGTTTTCTTTTTGTCAGCTTTTTTTCCTGTCAGTGATGCCCGACTTCTTTTAGACCTATCATTAAAAATAATAATCATTGCCTTCACACAAGGTCTGTCGTACGGTTCTTGTTGATAAGTGTTTACCCTCTTTGCATCTCTTGCAGTAAAAACGCAACTTTTTATGAACACGTTAGAAGAGAACAAAGACCCCTTTTAACTAGTTTTTGAAACGGGGATGGATAGTAGCTGTTCCCTGTTAATTCAGTCATTAACCTCTCCCAGATTACTTCCCTTGGCTATGCTGTCTCACTTGCCACCCACTCATTATTGCTGTTTATACAAAAATTATGGCTGCTTTGGAAATTAAAGTTGTTGATAACTCCTGCTTATTTTTGTTAAGCACTGCACTGTCAATACGAACGTGAGGGAAATTCAGTTCGAAGTCTATTCAGAACTACATGTTTAGACTTTCCAAAAATGCACCTATCCTCCCAAGATTCCAGATTTTCTGAATGTTTTCTCCAGTTGAGGAATGTTTGCAAAAACATATGTGGAGAAGGAAAGTGTGCCTAAAATGCATTTATTAGTTAAAATAAGCATGGGAAACGTAGTTTCTGCTTGGTGGTATTCAGCTAAGTTTTCCTTATAGTAAAGCCCCTGAAATTAATGGGCATAACTTTGGTGTGTTCATTAAATTCAGTGGGTCAGTTCTGAGTCAAATGTGATTGAAGATCACCCACTACATATAATATAATAATGGTGCAACAATAAGAGTCCTGCTGGATCAAGCAGGATCAGCTTTCTGCTTTTGCATCAGTGCTCTCCCGACTTGTGATTCTCAGCAACTGGTATTCAGAAGCACACTACCTCTTACTGTAGAAGTAGAACGTACCCATTGTAGCTAGTAGCCACTGATAGCCTTATTCTGCATGCCTAATCCTTTCAAGCCTTCCAGGTTGGTAGCCATTGTTAAGTTGTGGGCGAACATATCAGATGGCACAGCGGTTCTTCCAAAGCAGCTCTTTATTTGTAAGCTGGAACAGAACTGAACTGAGGAGCTCAGTCAGCCTGCTTATATAGAGCTCCAGAACAACGTAACTGTTGCAACTTTCTAAAACTATCCAATCACTGAACGTCACTTTCGATCCTTCATTTGCATACAAAATATCCAATCACTGAACGTCACTTTCGATCCTTCATTAGCATAACTATCTACAGTATCCCCCTGCTGGCCCAGGGTGAGAACTTCAGTACATAACAGCCATCACTACATCTTTTGAGAGCAACGGGGATGCTCAGCTGGAACAGCATGAGACTCAATCTTTGCCCGAGTTATTTACTACTGTAAAAAGTGCTGCCAGAAGCAGAGCCCACCAGTGCTGGTTTGATGTAATCAACTCCGCTAGGATAAAGTCTTTCCCCGGAGCCTTTCCGCTCTTCAGATTCCCAATTAATGTATAGACTTCCTCCACAGTAACCGGCCTCCACTGAGGGAGCAGTGACACTTCTGCCCTACAATTATCATCCCTGACCACTGGGAATGATAGGAGTTGTAGTCCAAAAAACAGCAGGAGACCCAAATTTTGGAAACACTGGATCTGTGTTGTCCCTTCCAACTCTACATTTCAATAATAATAATAATAATAATAATAATAATAATAATAATAATAATTTTTATTTATACCCCACCCTCCCCGGCCAGAGCCAGAATCAGGGTGGCTAACACCAGTAAAATTGCAGTAAAATCGTAATGGGGGGGGGGGCGCAATTTAAAATACAGGTTAAAATGCAATTTAAAAGGCAGCCTCTTTTTAAAAGTAGCCCATAGATCAAAACCATAAGGGGAGGGAAAACATAAGGGTTAGACTGAGTCCAAACCAAAGGCCAGGCAGAACAGCTCTGTCTTGCAGGCCCTGCGGAAAGATGTCAAGTCCCACAGGGCCCTAGTCTCTTGTGACAGAACATTCCACCAAGTCGGGGCCAGTACTGAAAAGGCCCTGGCCCTAGTTGTGACCAATCTAACCACCTTGCGACCTGGGACCTCCAAAATGTTGTCATTTGTGGACTTTAAGGTCCTCCACGGGGCATGCCGGGAGAGGCGGTCCCATAGGTACGTGGGTCCTAGGCCGCATAGGGCTTTAAAGGTAAAACCAGCACCTTAAACCTGACCCTGTACACCACCGGGAGCCAGTGCAGCTGGTAAAGCACTGGATGAATGTGATCTACAATTCTATGATTCAAATGCTACAGTGCCTTGTGTGAAGAGGTACCTATTTCACCCCCTGTCCCGAATCATTCAATAAGAATAGCACTCAGACCACGCCTGCAAATGCCAACTTTTAGTAAATTTATGCAGCATGCTTGAGCTTGCTACAAATTGGTTTCTCAGGTTGTTTGATGTTGCCATTTAACTGCCAAGGGCAGAGATTAGACGACTCCAGACCACGCTCGGTTTGCTCCCTGTTTGTTCCCGCAACCCTCACCAGCCGCCTTGTGTTTATCGTTCGAAAGCTGACAGAATGTCATTTGTTTGCCACTTTGGAGTCGTGAAACCCACTTCCTGCCCTGATGGGACGTGGCAGAAAACCATTATCTGTGCACAGAGATTAAGTGCGCTAATTAGCAAAGTGCTCCTTCCTTTGCCTCGGAGCTGCACAATTGTTTTATTCACTGAGGCATGTGGACAAAGGATTGCCACAGAATTGTAGTCTCTGTGTAATTAGGCATTTACCTGTTTGAAAGAAGCACAATGCAGCCGTCGGCTGTGATACCTGGAGCAAGTGTGGCAGGGAGCAAACAATTTAACAAGTGCATTATGCTGTGAGGACACAAAGCAGATTTTGGCCTCTGAACTCATCAGGACTGGCATGGAGAAGAGAGAGAGAGTAAACTAGCCTACTGCACAAAAGTAAAATTTGCGTGCATTGCATTCATTCTATCCTTTTGCCTCTGGCCCCTCCCACCCTGTCATGTGGCCCCTGGAAGATTGCGCAGGAAGGAATGCTGCCCTCAAGATGGAATAATGTCCCCTGCTCTATCCTGGAGAGCAATCTAATTTAGTGCATTTATTTTAGTTTTATTTCGTAAACCCCGCTAAAACGTTGAGGCTGCCAAGCGTGCCTAATACCACCTTTGCAATTGGCATTTGTTCATTGTTGCCAACAAACTAACAAAATGGGGCATTTTCTGCAGAGGAAAATTAAAAATGTCCACCCCACATTGCTGGTGTGGCTGGAGGGGACTGTATTCTGCAAGTAGTCACACAAGTGAGGCGTCCCCGTAGGGTCGTTGTCAGGGCGTTGGGCCACTCAAGTGTCAGAAGGGGTGAGGAAATTTTGCCCCCCACTTGGAGAAGTGTCCCCAAGTGCATTTCCACAGAGAAGTGAAGGACAAACATTTATATGGTTGAAAGTTAAATTCCCTGAGAGATGGAAAAGGTACCTCGAGCCTGCTGCATCTATTTGCCAGCGGTGACTCTTCTGCAACCACCTCCAGATTTGGCAAAGTATTTGCAAAAATCCCCCTTTTTTTACATACACAAATGTGCATCTTACTGATGCACTGAAAAGTGCATTTTATGGAAAAGTGCATATTTTATGTAAGAAGTGTGCAGAAAATGTAGACAGCACAACGGAATGACATGCAATGGGGTGAGCCAGTGGCATACAACTGGGACAGGACGGATCTGTGATCGCGTAGGAGAAATGGCAAGGAGTGTGCAGCCACTCTTTAAGTTCTATCGACCTGTGTATCCATTATCCATCTTGTATGCTTGGCAGAGGGCAGATGGGGGTGGGGGCAGTATCATTTGAATTTTACGCCTCAGTGCCAGAATGAATATCTTGGTCCAGCTCTGATTAGTACTGTTCAAGTTATCAGGAACCGTCAAAGCTAAAGTAGTGATAAAGTACTTTTCTTCAGACTATTTCGATGTTTTTTAAAAAGAAATAAAACCCTTTCCTTTCAACATACCAAGATATGGTGGGATGTCCACGTTTCTTTTACAAGAAAATACAAGGTCATTGTCCAAAGAAAGTTTACAGTGGGTGTTGGGTTGGTTTTTTTTTAAGCTACTCACTTCATCAAAGCATAATATACAACTGTCATGATTGCATATTATTTTCTGTGTTGCTGTGCCGATGCACGCTACCTTTGACAATTTAACAGACATTTATAAGTGCCGGGACTTCAAAAGCCAACCTTCTTTAGTATATGCAATTCCATTCTGCAGTGCAAATTAAAATTCTCTTAACTGTCTTAAGATAAGCATCA